TCAAGTTACGTATCCTTTGCTCATGCCTTGTACATTGTAAATGCTCAATATATCACTTTCACCAGTAAAATGCATCATTATGACTATTGAAACGGATAGGCTCTAACTTCCTAAAGGGTTTTAATCCTCCAGAACTTCACAGCAGCAACTGGAATACTCATCTGCAATAGGCTTAATATTTACTGTTTTATGTCTCCAAATTCTCTTTGTCTGGACCAGAGAGGAGGAGACTGGGAAATATTTTATGACTACAAACCATTGGCATTTGATAATAACTTATTGCTCTATTATTCTAAAAATGGGACACATTAGCAACATTATTGCAGTGTCAGACTTTTTAAAAAATATTATTAGTAAGTAGAAAAAGCAACAGAATTTTTGCTACACAGGATGTATGTTTCTAGTACTCCTTCCTAAAGGCAATTACATTATAATCTAATTATTTGGGAAGTACAGTAGGGAATTTATAAAAATATGCCTCTCATAAAACAGGATTGAAAATGAATTTTAATCAGAATTGAGGGAGACCAGAACTGGACTCTGCTATTAAATTATGGTCATATAGAAAAAATGAAAGAGTCTGTCCCAATTTGACATTTAAGTACCAGTAACAAAGGGATTAAAAAAGTAAAAATAAAAAAGGTGAAAACGCAAAATAAACTAATGATATACAAAATAACACTAAACAGAAACTATTACACCATTACCACAAACTATCAGATAAACATCAAGATTTGGAAATAATTTGAACTAAGTGTAGGGGGTGACTGCTCATATCTATGCAGTCATCCAAGAAATATTTATTACCCAGTTCTTTCTGAGGCATGAAAGAAAATTCCCTAAGGGTCTTTGGGCTACTTCTAGGGCATTTTATAATGATTGATTACATGTGAGGCCAGGAATTTGTTTTGCAGTAACAATTTAAAATGTGTATTACCGGGAATTCATTACTCAAGTTTAATGACTTTGATGAGCAGATTATCTTTTAAAATATGCAGTAATGTCTGGTGTTGTCATTTGAACAGTCCACTCATAGAAATGATTTAAATTTTTCTAGTATTTGAATTATATTGGTTGTATAAGGGAGCACGTTTAAAATATTTTAAAAAGTGATTGAATACCTCTATAGATGTGTGTCCATTTGTCACTATGTTAGGTTCAGTCATTTCACTAAAGAAGCCTCAATCCTGGTAATTTTGTTATACAATTATAAAATTTTAGATGAGGTCTGACTTATCTGGAATGAGTGTGTACCGTTGTTTGCTTATGTGCAACCATTCTTGAGATAAAGTAAAAAGTCATTGTTTTATAAAATCATATTAATAAAGCCATCACATTTCTAAAAATTTAATCTAGCATGTGAAATGTATAATTTTTAATTTTTTTCTTAAATATTAGTTAGATGTCTAATTTTCTTATTCAACTGGGTAACTATACAGTTGTAAGACTACTGACTAAACCATTCTACTGGTTACTTGAGTAAAGTAATTTTATAATTTTATTTCATGGAGAGACAAGAATTGGTGGATAGCCCTGGCTAGTGGGGCTCAGTTGGTTGAATATTGCCCTGTGCACCAAAAGGTCACTGGTTCAATTCCTGGTCAGGACACATGCCCAGGTTATGGGTTCAATCAATCAAGGTTTCTCTCATGTATTTGTTTCTATTTTTTTTTTCTCCCTCTCCCTTCTGCTACCTCTAAAACAACGACAACAACAACAAACAATGAATACATATTTAAAAAAAGAATTGGTGTATATTTAGAATAATTCTATATAATAAAAGGCTAATATGCAAATTGACTGAACGGCAGAATGACTGGTCACTAAGACGTGCACTGACCACCAGGGGGCAGATGCTCAATGCAGGAGCTGCACCCTCGTGGTCAGTGCGTGGGAGCCTCTCACGCCTCCATAGCAGTGCTAAGGATGACCAACTGACGGCTCCCGGACTGCGAGAGGGTGCAGGCTAGTCTGAGGGACCCCGAGTGCACAAATCTCCTGCACCGTGACTCTAGTATATACATGAAAACACAAGCCAGACCAATTCCTTGGAAGCAAAGATTAATAAATTCATTTGCCAAGGAAGAAATAGATCTCACAAAAGGATTAAGGATTCCTGTTACTATGAGGTAACTGAGCAGTTGGGCAGAACATGATGAAAAAAATATTAGAATTAATTCAAATTTACTCGATCCAGGCACACTTGTAGAGTTTGATCTATGTTGTAGTCAGCACTTCCAAAAATAACAGCCCTGGGTACACCCCAAAGGGAGCTATGGGGAACCTGTAAATGGATCCAACATTTAGCATCAAGTCCAGATGTGCTGTTCAAGCAAGTGTTGCCTTATATTGCTGGGACTTGGTAAATAAAAGGAATTTAGCAGAAATGAGATGGAAGTTCCTGATTTGGGGGATGGCTGATAGCTCTGTATTGCATCCAGGCTTCTCCATCTCTGAAATGGAAATGTGTACCTTTCTGGAATGGGGCATCATCTGTATTTACTCTCTAAAGACACTGACAGCACTTCAGTGTCCAGGAAGGAGAGAGCATCAACCACCAAGATGATTGCTTAGTTCTATGTGCGAATGGTCTCAACAGTTGTTAGGTGGCAAAGCTTTTCCTCAAAAGAGTTAACCAGCTTTGTTTATTCTCTTTGTTCAGGTGGGTCCCAAGCTAGATCTTGCACAGCTGTTAGAAAGGGTGTTTAAGACATTTTCTATCAGTGGACAAGTTAACAGTGCAACGGCTCTTTCTTTATCATTGTAATAATTTCTTATCCTTGCTCATGAGTTGGACCAAGTAGGTTCTATTTGTGAGAGCCAGCACAGAAAGGAAAAATTTTAGCTGGCAGAGGGCTTACAGACTGATGGCAATGTAGTCAACCATGTAACAATTCTGGGAAATATGGTGTATTGAGCTCTTACCTGTTCAGATGGCATCTTCTTACTGGGTGAGTTGGATCCCGGTCTTTGAAATTTGAATTGCAATTTTCATGTGAGATATAAGGATCTTATTTAATAATATCTTCCTTTATAAGAAATGCCTCTGTATGATACAGTGTTTCTTACCTTTCCTATGTTTTGTATTAGTATCGGGACACCAGCTTTCTTGAGATAATTGTCTGTATGGTATATCTTTTCTTCAACTTTATGCTTTCAACATCTATCTTTATATTTAACTAGAGGCCCGATGCACGAAAATTCGTTCAAGAGTAGGACTTCCTTCCCCCGGCTGCCAGCACTGGCTTCCCTCTGGCACCTGGGACCCAGGCTGCTTCCTTGGCCGTCCACAGGCACTCCAGACCCGGCTGGCTTCCCTCAGGCCGCCTGCAGGCACCCAGGACTGGGCTGGCTTCCCTCTGACCCTGGCTTTGTCAGGAAGGACAGCTGGAAGACATACAGTCTAATTAGCATATTACCCTTTTATTATTATAGATGAGTCCTTAGAAGCAGCAAACACATAAGATTTTGTTTGCTTTTAACTTAAGTGTTTAGTTATTTTGCATTTGATATATTCAACCTTATATCTGCTACCTTACTTTTTTCCATGGTGATAGGCCACTATCATTATATTGTTGTTACTTTAAATTTAGTGTTCCTTTATTCTCCAATTTTAAAAGTTCCTTCTTCACTTTTCCATTGTTTTCCTCTGGTGTTACTATGCGCAGCTCTAGAATTTCCATTTCATTTTTTAGATTCTAATACTCTGGCAGAATTATCCAACTTTTCCTGTATTTTATTTTTCCTCTACTTTTCTTGATCATATTAATCATAGCTGTCATTGAGTCCTTGTTTGATAATTCCAATAGCATGTTCACTTGTAGATCTCTTTCATTTTATATTTTTCCCCTTCGTTTTTGTTGTTGTTATTCACAGGTTCCTGTCTCTTTAAATGATTTTTTAAAATGTCAGATAGTGAAAAAACTTGCTGAAATTCTAGAAAATATTATCTTTTTCTAGAGAGGATGCACTTTTTTATCTTTTGGCAGAGAAGAGGTTGATGACATTGATCTAATCAGGGACTGAGCTGAATTGGGGAAGGTTACATTTATGTATGTATGTATGCATGTTTTGTTTTCACTGAGAGATAAGTGACATATAACATTATATTAGCTTCAGGTATATAACATAATGATTCAATATTTGTATATGTTGCAAAATGCCACAATAGTCGAGTTAACATTTGTCTCTATCCATTCACAAAAATTTCTCTTGCAATGACTTTTAAGATTTACTCTTAGCAATTTTCAAATATGCAATACAGTATTGTTAATGATAGTCATCATGCTTTATATTACATTCCCTTACTTTATTTATTTTACAACCAGAAGTTCTTACCTATTAACCCTCTTCACCATTTTGCCCACTCCCAACCCTTGCCTTTAGGAACTAGCAATGTAGTCTATGAACTTGGTTTGTTTGTTTGTAGATACTCCATATAAGTGATATCATAAGGTATTTGTCTTTCTCTGATTTATTTCACCTAGCCTGTCCTCAATGTCCATCCATGTTGTTGCAAATGGCAAGATTGTATTATTTTTTATGTCTGAATAGCATTCCATTATATGTGTGTGTGTATATATATATATATATATATATCTCACCCATCAATGGACACTGAGGTAGTTTCCATAGCCTGCTATTATAAAGAATGCTGCAATTAACACAGGGGTCCATATATCTTTTTGTGTAGTTATTCTTCAGAAGAATAACCAAAAGTGGAATTGCTGGATCATACGGCTGTTCCAATGTCTAGTAATTACTTTTAGGGCTACAGAAATGAAAGTTAAAGTAACATCACTCTGTTTGTGTCAGGTCTGCATATATTCATCATTTAAAAATAGAACAATATTTGTATTTATGTACATGAAAAAATGAATGAGCTAGTTTTACATATATATTAAACTCAACTGTTTTAAAAGGGAAAAAAGGAAAGACAATCTATTTTATTTAATTCATGACAACTTTAAACTCTGAAAATAGAGACAGTCACACTCAGGTGGACTTGTAAAACAATTTTAATTTTTACTCAAAATATATGGGATATCATTAGCCCTTATCTTACACTTGGAAAAACAGAGAGAGCATTGTACAGGAAACAGAAGCTATTAGATTTGAAGCTCAAGTTTCAAAAATATTCAGATAAGACAGGTACACTCCAGATACTATTCCCATTGTCCAACATTAATTTTCATATGGCTCCTTACTTTATAACATAAATATCACTTATTAGGATCACTGTTTAGTTTGGGTTTTTTTCTAAAATACCAAAAGGCTCCCCAGCAGTGCCCATCTATTTTATAAACTGACCTGCAGTTTTCTCTTCTTTAAAAAAATTCCAATCTATTTGGATTAAAAGAATAAATATCACATATCCAGGGCAAACAATTTTATCCCCACCAAATATAAGTGTTTTACAGTGAAGAAACTCAGAGCATTTGACAGCATATTACTGTACTGTGATCAGACCGACCAAAGCATGGCCCTTTGTATACAAATTCTGATGAAGATACTCAAAAAAGTAGAGGGGAGTCAAAAGAAATGCTAGGGATAAAGCATCCATACATAAAATAAGTTTTCATGGAAACTTGCCAGACCTGATAGAATTCTAAAGACACTGCTGAAAAGTGCTGCCCCTCCCATGAGCTATAATAAGTCCGACAAGCCCTGGGGGAATCATGGACTCAGTAGCTGATCCGAAGTGGATGTCAAGATAGATAGGGCTTTGTTCCCCTACCTCCCGCTGCCAAATGGCCGCATGCTGCATACTTCCAGTTCATTGTGACAGTGCGGAGAACCATGTTACCACCTTACTTAAAAGCAACAAGAAGGGGGCGTACACAGTAAAACAGTAACAAAAAACCACAATAACAAAACGCTGCAATGAAGAATTGTGTTCGTACCAAAACCATGGCGAGGAACTCTTGAAGACCAAGACCAGTTCCTGGACACAGCAGCAGTGCAGTTGGCGTCCACGCCGGGCCCTGTGCACACGCCTCCCGGGCAGTGTAAGTTTCCTCTCAGCAGCCACCACAGGGACCTGCAGTGTAGTGAGTGGCGACTGTGGCTGGTCCACTCACACCCCAACGAAGCGTGGCCAGGGCCATCAGGCATGTTTGTTGGCCGAGTCAGACTCTTGGGAAATACTCAGTCACTAGACATTTTCTTCACAAGCCACTTCTCAAAAGTGAACTGGAATACATCCTAACCTCCTAGGTTTTTAGGGTGTTTGTTAACTTCTGGGCCCTTTTTAAAACCCCGGTGTTGTGTGAGAGGCAGCCACTAAAATAAACCCTCCCCATTTTCAACTTACTTCCCTTTCTTTTCCCTAAGGTAGACCTTCTGTAAACCTAAAAACATGTGCTCACTTAATATACAGGGTTCCTCAAAGTGCAAAATGTGTTACACATAGTTTCATAGGCTCCGTTTAAACAGCATTTTATACAATACAGTACAGTTGGATCTCTGTGCTCATATATTACACCACTTAAAAGACACCTACTTCAAAAGGTTGGCCACTCAAAGTAACCCAAGGACTTTTTACACACGGTTAATACAGGGGAGCTGTACAAGCTTTGTTCAGACCAAAATAAAGTTAAATCTTACACTTATCACATATATACATATATATTCCCAAATGCTCTTCAAATGAGTACATACAGCTAGACAAATGTTACAAACCATTAGAGTTTGCTTTCTGATTTGTACACAAACATTGTATGCAATGTTCTTTTAAAAAAAAATCTGCAAGTCATTTTATTTCTTTCTGTAAGATCGGCTCGCCCTGTAACTCTTTCGGAAGGGTTCTTGACCGCTGTAGAACCACGCTGAGTTCTCTGATGACCTGGGACGGCAACTTATTGTCAGCGTCCAGAGTGGCTTTGCCGTTCCTGTCCTCAGTCTTCCCCAGGGTCTTTGATGAGCCTTTAGGGCCTTTCTGCTGCCCATGAAAGGCCTCAGTCTCGGCCTCTGTGTCCTCCAGGCAGTAGAGGCTGCGATGCTTCCGGGTTCGATGCCGCAGTTTATCGTCCCTGTGCTCCAGGCAGTGGGCCACCATGGAGGCTCTGTCCTTCAGGGTGCTGTCCCCAGGCTCCTGGTCCCGCTTCTCGTGGAGCCGCAGCTTCTCCAGCTCCCCCCTGGCGCTCTAGGGTAAAATGAAACACCGCGTGGGAAAGCCTGACTTGGCAATTTACATTTGAAAAACGCATTCCACATAAAAGCTGATGCTTCTTATATTCCAGCTTATTTCTAGGATTTAGGTTCTAATTTTGACACAAGTGGCTTCCCTAAATTTTAGTACTGATCCGAGAGCTACAATGTGGACTAAAATGAAGACCATAGAAATTCATTTGAACGTGCATTTAACACAGAATTCCAAAGATGCCTTTCAGGGTAGTTATTTAAATCGAGTGTCTTTTCAAACTTGCCTCTTCCAATTCCCTTTTGCTTGGATGTGCCACATGTCCGTGTATCTCTAGTTATACTCACAGAGAAAAGGAAGTCGCTGTGGCCCCTGAGTTTGGGGAAATGCTCTTTGTACCACAGCCTCTCTTCAAGATAACAGCATATTAAAGACGCTGAGGAGTATTGTGACAGAGAAATCTGTTTAACTTCTTTCTCTGTGTGTGTTTTTTTAATTTATTCCCAAAATATTTAGTAAAATCTTTCCTCCCACATAATATTAGAATTCCACAGAAATATTTTTAAAAACACCAGTAGATTAGAGTACACGTTCATTCAGTAAACTGTAAGGACCTACAGGCATGGAAATTCACTGTCACAATACCTGCGAAGGTATAGAGGTACACTTTCCTTTTAATGTTTCCCCTCAATTATGGTCCCAGGTGCACAACATAGTGATTAGACATTTATATACCTTATGCAGTGATCACCCCGGGAAGTCTAGCGCCGACCTGGCACCTTACAGTTATTAGAATAGAGTATATTTCCTATGCTGTGCGTTACATCCCTGTGATGGCTTTTATCAACTGGCAACTGAATATTCCTAATCCCTTCTTCTTCACCCATCTTCCCAGCCCCCTTCTGCCCACCTGGCACCTTACAGTTATTAGAATAGAGTTGAGTATATTTCCTATGCTGTGCGTTACATCACTGTGATGGCTTTTATCAACTGGCAACTTAATAGTCCTAACCCCTTCTTCTTCACCCATCTTCCCAGCCCCCTTCCTTTCTGGCAATCATCAATTTCTTCTCTGTATCTATGAGTTTGTTTCTGTTTTGTTTGTTCATTTATTTTGTGAGGCTTCTTTTAGAGCCCACATGTAAGTGACATCATATGGTATTTGTCTCTCTCTATCTGACTTACTTCCCTTTGCATACCCTCCAAGCCCACCCATGTTGTACCAAGTAAGATCTCATTTGTTATGGCTGAGTAACAGTGTTCAATACTAATGAGATGAGTGTTCCATTATATGTATGTACTGCATCTTCTGTATCCTTTTGTCTGTTGATGGACACACAGGTTGCTTCAATATCTTGGCTATTGTAAATAACGCTGCAATACAGGGATGTATATATCTTTCAAATTAGTGTTTTGGATTTCTTCAGATAAATGCCCAGAAGTGAATCATTGGCTCATAGGTGGCTCTATTTTTAATTTTTTTGAGAAACCTCTGTACTGTTTTCCATAGTGGCTGCACCAATTTACAATCCCACCAACAGTGCACAAGGGTTCCCTTTTCTCCACAACCTTGCTTGCCAACACATGCTGACTTATTGATGACAGCCATTCTGGCAGGTGTGAGATGATAACTCATGATTTTAATTTGTATTTCCCTGATGATTAGTGATGTTTAGCATCTTTTCATATGTCTATTAGCTTTCTATATGTTTTCTTTGCAGAAATGTCTATACAGGTTCTATGACCATTTTTTTATTTTTTAAGTATTTATTTTTTTCAATGTTTTTGATTTTTTTTTTAGAGAGATAGAAAGGGAGAGGGTTAGAGAGATAGAAACACAGATGAGAAACATGATTGATTGGCTACCTCTGCACGCCCCCTACTGGGGACTGAGCCCCCACAACCCGGGCATGTGTCCGGACCAGGAATCAAACCATGACCTCTTGGTTCGTGGGTAGATGCTCAGCCACTGAGCAACAGCAGCAGGCCCTATGCCCATTTTTTAAATTGGATTGTTTTTTGGTGTTAAATTGTACGAGTTTGGACAATAATCCCTTATTGGATGTAACACTGGCAAATATCTTCATTTTGTTTGTTTCCTTCACTGTGAAAAACCTTTTTAGTTTGATGTAGTCCCATTTGTTTAGTTTTTTTTCTTTCACTTCCCTTGCCCAAGGAGATATTTCAAAAAAAATATTACTAAGAGCAATGTCAGAGTTAACTGCCTATGTTTTGTTTTTTGTTTTTTTCTAGGTTTATAGTTCATAGGAAAATTTTTAATTTTCACTAATTTTGTTTTAATGCTTTTTAAACTTTCAACTTTCCCCCAAAGTTGGAATATTTTTAAGCACTCTTTGCCTATACGTTGAATCACCAAATCACTTCACTTAAATTTACAAAAAAATCTTGGGTTAACTACTCATTAATTTTCCTATTAATAGTTCATGGAGTTGTTTTAAAAGCCTTTAACAATATCTTCAGTGTTTTAGTTCAGCTCCCTGGTCTTAAGTATGCTAAAAACATTGTCTCTGAAATTTTGAATTTTGTATTAGATAACAATTATATATTCAATTATCATCCCAATTCTTAACTGGTACTGATTAATGTATTTTAATACTAATACTATAGCTTTTTCTTTGGGCTGTAATTGATCCTAAGACAATGTCAGGACAAGCTGGGTCACTATAGGGCATATCCACTCCCTATGTTGGCTTCACTTGTTCAACCTGTCTCGCCCAACCTTGGTTTCTGGGAAATGCAGCCCTTGGAATTTTAAGCTTCTAGATTAGCTAAGGAATCCATAGTTTTGTAGGGCAGTTTATTACCCAGAATGGCAGGAGAAACAAACAAGCTCATGATTTCTTGGAAGATATTCTTCTCTTTGATTACATTAGTGCAGAAGGACCAAGTAGGCAACAAAGGTAATAAACCAATGTTTCCAAAGCTTTTATCTTTTTAGAGAAGAGGAATATTCTAATGAGATAAGTGTTCAAGAAGAGATAGGCATGGACAACTATTTCTTAAAATCTGATCAGTAAGTTAAAATGGCTTTAGTCTTTCAAAAGATATTTCTGTTTGGAAAGCAAGAAATTCAAACAGCTTAATTCCAAACCCAGCCTCTAAGAAGGACATCTTTTACATGCGTTTCCTTCTGCTCTGAGAGACTCAATGGAGGCTCTGAAATGTGCATTAGCCCCAGAGCAGGCGTTTTGAGTGAAAACTGCCTCCACTGTTTCCTGAAGAGCCTGTACTTCAAGCTCCGGTTGATGCCACTTCTGCTCTCCCTGCCCCTCAAGGTGAGAAGGGGAACAAATCGCGGCTTTCAGGAACAAAAATGCCAAATCTTTTTTGATGCTCAGGGGTCCTCTTGCAGCTCCTTAAATTAACTGGGACACCCCATCGGTTCCCAAACCACTGCTTGAATATGTCACTAGAAAGTCTAGTGACCAGGGCTCCAGCAGACAGCTGCTGCTATGGGCTCATTCTCAGATTGTTAGAAGTAAACCTGTAAGACTAATTTGAGACTGATTTTACCACCAGAGCTTCTGTACACGTATTTAAAATGGCTCGGCTACTTTAGGGATAAGCAAACAGGTGGAACTGTGCATATTTAACAGTCAATGGCATCATTACACTAATCATTTCAAAGAAGTTAAAAAAAACACACAAAAAACTTCAAAAACATGCCTTAGAATTTCTCATGTTTTCTTGAGGGATGTGATTTTTCTTATGCTTTTCAAAGATATTATTCCTGATTTTTTGAAGCCAATGAATTAATGAGTGCACTCAATCACAATAAGACCGAAGAAAACAAATGCTAGAATTAACATAAACGAAATAAAATCCTGACCTACCTCGATATTTCTCCAGGCTTGGGTGGCATTTTTCTCCTGCTGGATGGGAATGAGAGGCAAGCCTCCGATTTTGGGGTTTTTGGTTATGGAGCGTTTTCGTTGCTTTCCAGCAGGTGGCCGTATATCATTTTCATGCTGTGGAAACACAATTTCTTGCCGTTGGTGCGTGACGTTATTCTGTGGTGTACACCCTGTGACAGAGCCACCTGGCTCGCTTTTCACACACACATATCCAGTGACCTGCTTCCTATGAGAATGCCATCGCTGCATCGCCGGAGGACGTAAAACTCTTAAGTGAACTGAGCTTTGAGGTCTCAGTTCAATTTCTAGGTCTCAAATACATGCGTTCGGTACTACTTACCAAACCCAAAGGGGTGGAATATTCTTTTTTTAAAATAAATTTTTAAAATATATTTTATTGACTTTTTACAGAGAGGAAGGGAGAGGGATAGAGAGTTAGAAACATTGATGAGAGAGAAACATCAATCAGCTGCATCCTGCACACCCGCTACTGGGGATGTGCCGGCAACCAAGGTACATGCCCTCAACCAGAATTGAACCCGGGACCCTTCAGTCCGCAGGCCAACGCTCTATCCACTGAGCCAAACCGGTCAGGGCAAGGGGTGAAATATTTTAAAAACTGTCACATCTCTTCGTGGGAGAAAAAGAATATACTTGTCTATACTTCCCAGCCCTATAATCAACATAACTATGTGTTCACGTTTGTTCTCTCCACCAGAGGACTTCAGTGTCAACATAATAAATTGACCTTATGTAGCCCAAGTCTACCTTAGGCACGTCACCAGAAAAATTAGCCTTAATGTATGACCTTTTGAAAATGTTACTTTTTCATCTAATTGAGTTCCAGAGAAATGTTACCTTGTACACAGGTATTTATACTGAAAATCATTGTACAACAGAGAGTGTGGCACATTTGTTCTCAAATTATTGACTACATATTCTTGCCACCGAGCAGTTGTAGATATGACTGGGAAAAAGTTAATTTTGCAACTGGGAAAAATATCCACAGGTAAAAATAGAAGCTCTTGACTGATAAATCCTTGAGATACGCAGATAAAAGAAAAATCTTTAAAGATTTTTCCACTCCTCAGGGTAGATTCACTTGTCAGATGTTGGGAAAAGCAAATTGATTTTCAGACAACAATCTATGAAAGAAATACAGAACAGCAACTATAAAATGAGCAGCTTACAGATGTTACGGTGAAATGAAAAACATTCAGTAAGCTATATAGCTGAATGCCTACTCTTATTTTCCACTACTCTTAAGACTCAATAGAGTCTTGTTCTTATGTTGCAATTAGTATTTTAATGTAGGGTATTAGAGCACCGAATGCATTTCAACAAAGGCTGACTGCATACCCATTGTAGAATAGCTGATTTATATTGAGGGGCATACTGCTAGACTTTGGGGCTTATCGATATACATGTATTATCGCCTTTCATCCTCAGTGATCCTACAGTGTAGGTCCTACTTATTCCCAGACTTAGTGTATATGCATAGGGTCTGTCCTTGAATTTTAACACATTGCGGGCCAATAGTTGTATTGCCAGCTTTACCCAGTGGCCAGATTAGTTTCTATTGAGCGAGTATAAAAAACATTTTACATAAATGTTAAAGGCACGCTTTAAAATCAAATACCCATCGCATTTGGAAGTTATTTATTACATCTTCTGACAAACTAATACCTTTTTAAAGTATGATACCATGTAAGACACTGTGTAATATGAAGCGAGAATTCTCGTGATCCGTCCGCCATGTGTTAAGGAAGTATTTGCCTTGGTTCAACAAACCAAACACAGTAGATGCCTGCAATATTTTAATCAGAGGGAAAGTGACAAGCTTCGGGACATTTCTATGTCACGGTCCCGCACTTGATAAAATAATTTTGATGTTATATACGTGGGATGTTCCCAACGTGTAAAGCTGGGAGAAAACTGGCTGGGAAGGAAGTAGGCAATCCTATGGATTATGCTTACGCTTTTCCTCACTGGTGTATAGTGCGTGCATTAAATGACATTCTGAGGAACCTAAGAGCAAATGCAGTTTTCAAACACCATTTCTTTTCCTGACAGGACAGACAATGCTCTGGATGCTGCCTCATTAGGTCTCACTGAATGACCCAAGAGGTATTTTTCCCAACAGCAGAAAACATTAGATCTAAGCAATATGTTCTGATACTTCCAGTTATGTATAAGTGACTTCCAATGTTCTCCCGCATAGACCATATAGCTGAGATCATACTTCCATTATTATTACCAATGATCACATCCCCAAATCTTCATTTGTCTCCCACTTTCTAGTTTCTTTCCCCAGCTGTCACCATGTTATACATTAAATCATCAGGCCTTGTTCATCTTATAACTGCAAGTTTTGTATCCTTTAACCAACCTTTCTATCCCCTTCCCTTCACTCCAGCAACCACTTTTCCACTCTCTGTTTTTGAGTTTGAGTTGTGTGGTGTTTTTTAAGATTCCACATGTAAGTGATACCATGCAGTATTTGTCTTTCTCAGTCTGGCTTATTTCACTTGTCATGAAACCCTCCAGGTTAATCCATGTTGTTGCACAGGATGGTATTTCTCTTTTTTAAAAAAGTTGAATAATATTCCATTGTGCATGTTCACCACATTCTCCTGACCTACTCATCCATCTGCCAGCAGACACTTCGGCTGTTTCCACACCTTGGCTAGGGTGAATGATGCTGCAGGGAACACAGGGTTTGCCTCTCACTTTTGACCTTGACCTCGTATCTTTCCAGCTCACTTCATTTAGTTTCATTCACTAGAAGCATTCTTAGGCTCCTTAAGGCCTTCAATCCATTCCACTCTGCTCATTTTCCCCACTTCCTTCACAGCCTGGCCTCAGTTTCATGGCCAAAGAGTATACTCACCTCCTTATCAACTCCTTCAAGTCCTGTGCTCTTTCTCTCCCCTCACATGTGCGGGGCTAAGCCCTGAACCTAAACCCAGTTCTGCTTACTCTATGGGTACCTATGGACTGATGGAGGAAAATAAATTAGATCACTCTGGAGATGCATCTCATCTTAAATTAACTTTAAATCTCAAGTGAGCACGCAGCATTACCTGACTACCATGCAACTCGTTTTCTCCCTCTCTGAAGAAATCTCATCTTTTACTCTTCCTTGCACTTCTAATATCCCCCAGTGGAGTGACCATGCTGATTTAATTTTTAAGATTATTAATAATCATTCAAGATGTTCATTTTCCCCATCAGGAAATGTACCAATCTCCTCTGTGTTCACAGCCATGTAAGCGAGGCTCCCTTCTCTTCAATCAGTACTGCTCTGCTTAAATAACTTTTCTCCAGTCATATCTGTAATTGCTCAGTGGCCAGAATCCATAGTCAGGAATTTGAGGACAAATGTGCCACACTGTGCTGCTGCTGATTTTTCCAGCAATGACGAACCAATGGGCACTTACATTGCTTCACATCTGCCCAGGGCCTCTGCTGGTTTAATCATCACCCTCTTCCTAAAAAAATTAACTTTTCTTCCAATTACTGCATTGTCTGCATCAGCATAGAAGCAAAGTATACACTTTCCCACTTTAAAGATAAATCAAAAGCCCCAAACCTACCTTGACTCCTTGTTTCTATCTAGTCACAGCCTCATTTATCTACATGGCAAATTCCTTGATAGAATATTCTGTAGCAATCACCTACATTTTCCTCCTTCCTCAACCCTTCTCATTTCTTTTGCTGTTTTACATATATATATATGTGTGTGTGTGTGTGTGTGTGTGTATACACATATATATTAGGCATTTAAAGTTAGAATGTTCCAGGGCTTGTCTGCCATCTCTTTCTCTCTCCCATACAACCCCCTCTCTCATTCTCTCTCTCAGATCTCACCCAAACTCATGGTTTTCAATAAAGTTTAAATACTGACTTCCCCAAAATTTACATTTCAGCCCCAACCTTTTGCCTGAGTTTTTCATCCTTATATCCAACCTGCTATCCAGCATACCCACATGTATGTCTAAAAGGTAACTCAAATTCCATGTGCCAGAACAGAGCTCTCCCCTTTCCCCCCACCTCTGTCTCTGACAATGTCACTTACATCTATCTGCCTGTTGCCCAAGGCCAAAAAACTAAGACTCTAATCCTCTCAAACTGGTATAGCCAATTACTGTGAAAGCCTTATTGGCTCTGCCTTCCAGTACTCTTGAATCTGAACGTCTTAGCAGATCCACCCTAGTCAGAGCTGCCATCCTCACCCACACAGGCATTCCTCCTGCTTCCATCTCTGACCCTTGAGGGTACGGTTTCTGCAAAGTAACCAATGCAATTTTTTCAATTAATGTAAATTGGAGGGACACTTACTATTGTGTGTGTGTGTGTGTGTGTGTATTTTTAAAATCTGCTAAGTTCTTGTCTGTTTCTCTATGGAGGTGACCCACTAAATCCTTAAATCCCAAAGGATCTTTGCGTTGACATTAATCCTGAAACGTGGAATGGACAAAGAAAGGTAACCGGGCTGAGACCACACAGGATAGGCGAGGCAGGGGAAAATAACTTCACTCTGAGGGCAGCATCCTGGCTGTTTATACTTTGATTTTCAAACTACAGGATGGACTGACTTCAATTATAAAAAGAAAAAATCAATTTAGTTGCACCACAAAGACACAGCGTAACAGTTTTCGACTCTATAGTTCCAATTTCAGTAAAATTCTTCAAATCCAGTCTTTTAAAGTAGGACTTGAATATCTGAATTATTAAAAAGTCCCCCCAAAAGAAGAAAAGTCTCTAAAAAAAGTTAGCAACCAGTCTTTTTCTGCAAATGTATTCCCAGGTAGTAATAGCGTCAGGCTGAGAACAGTGTTTATTAACTACTGGAGAGGATAATAAATTAAAGGAACAGAGAAAATGACCAGATCTGGGGGGTGAATTAACTTCTCTAGTAAGAGAAATGGGGAAGTACATCCTAGGTAATAAAGAGTGGCAACTTAATCGTGACTGTGAATTTGAATGGTCTTTTGCAAAGCAATGCTGGAATTCAGCCCGATAGGGCTGGAAGGGTGGGGGGACGACCAATTCTACTAATGGGACTACTGAAACCTTCCCCCCAAAAGTGAGCCCTCCTCCAGGAAGGAGACTGAATGGGGAATGGAGTGTATGTGTTTGCCTCTGGGTTTCAACCACTAACTAAATATATGGTCCTATGCAAAGGATGGCACCTTTGTTCATCTATTTCTTCATCATTAAGAATCGCCATGCATAGTTTGTTGCAAGGAACACACATATTAACTCTTTTTGAAATTTCTAGCAAATAACAAGTATTAAAGAAATGTAGGCTCCTGTCCATATCTGTGGACAGGCAGGGTGGGGAGAGTAGGATCATGTGGGGCTCTGGTAGGGTGGCTGCTTCCACAAGGCCCTCTTTCTTATCCTGTCATCTTTTTAAAAAAATATATTTTATTGATTTTTTACAGAGAGGAAGAGACAGGGATAGAGAGTTAGAAATATTGATGAGAGAGAAACATCAATCAGCTGCCTCCTGAACACCCGCCACTGGGGAAGTGCCCGCAAACTAAGGTACATGCCCTTGACCGGAATCGAACTCGGGACTCCTCAGTCCACAGGCCGACGCTCCATCCACTGAGCCAAACTGGTTAGGGCTATCCTGTCATCTTGAAGCAACACACCTCCCCTAGGCTGCGGAGCTGCTGGGCTGGCAAAAAGCCTCTACAAAGGCAGTAAACTCTCTTTCAAAGAGTAAGGGATAAATCCGGATGCTTATATATTAAAATATATACAAGAGTAAATAAAAATATATGCATAAAACTCAAACGTTAATCGAAAACTACCGCCATTTCCCATACACCATCATTATGCTTTCCAGGACAACTGGAAACAGGTATCTTACCTGGGCAAGGAAGACACTGGCCATCCACTCCATCTGAGTTTGTAAACTGTCACAGCACAGGTGCCTGCAAAGCAAGATGTCTGACTATATAGATAAAAAAGTCTATTCTCCAGTGTATTTGGTAAGTAAGTGATCAGAAATCCCTTTGGTTTCTCTGACTGATGGCTTAATGCACGCAAAATGGGAGTATTTCAGTTCAGGTTGCTTAGTGTACGATGTCAGGATAATAGTGTACATATGCTATTTTAAACAAAATATAGCTAAGGTTTTGATAATTGCTGAACAATGATCAGCGATATTTTTGGAAAGGTCGACCTCATTTGCTTTTTCAGGTGCAAGACTTGGTAAAACACCTTTTCCCCTAGAAACTCCCAGCTTAAGAAGAAAAATGTGTGCTTATTTTCTTAACAGCAGATTTTTAAAAAGGCTTAGACAGTCTCCATCGTTATGATTATAAACATTAATACCCACAAGACTCGTGAAAAAGAAGCTAAATGAAAAAACCACTGCCCGTCCAATAACACCTTTTATTGAAAACCTGTATATACAGAGCGCTTGCCCTCAAGATTCACACAGTCCACTAGGGGAACCGGGAATGTAAACAAATAAATTAAAACAGTGAGAGAAGCGCAAAGTTGAACATGAACATAGAAACAGCATGCTTGGGGATGAGATGGAGGTTGTTTCCTGTAAGAGGAAAATGTTGTGACTGATGGCAAAATGAGAAAATGGGCATTCAATGCCACCATCTTTTTTATATTCCTGTATAATAAAATTAATTTTTAAAAATGTTAACATTTCTGAAATATTCTTCATTGAAAGATTATCATAGAGACACTGTCCTTTTCCATTTACCATATCCAAGAGAACCTTTCTCAAGGTTTTAATTACAGATCATTTTGATTACACGCCACTGTGTACAAAATACTATAGATACAAAGAAGACATAAAGATTAAAGGTGAGAGTTACAGGACTTTGGGGCATCTGAGTTATGGCTTGAATGAAGGACAACGGAGTGTGCCAGGTGGGCAGGGAGAGGTCAGTGATGAGGAAGAGGCAGCACACCGTACGGATGAAGGCTCAGTAAGGGGACCACATCTATTAAACATAGAGATGTGAGACAGCAAGGCATGGGTGGTGAATTCAAGACATAACTGTTTTATCATCAAGCAAAATGGGAAAGTCATGGGCAATGAAGCTGATGGAGCCCATATTTGAGGGCCTTGCACGCCAGGCCAACCCTTCTGTGCTTATCCTGTGAGGTGACAGGATTCACAGGAGAGTTTTAAAGCAGGAAAGGAATGTGATGCATTTTAGAAAGTCTCTTTGGGGCTGGGTGGAGAATGCCCTAGAAGACAGAGGCAGGGTCAGTAGCAGGAAGAGCGCTCCGATCGCCTGGACTAGTCCTGGCAGGTGAACGGAGGCAGGGCCCTAGGGTATGGGGTGCGGTGGATCAGAGAGTGAAGAAGCAGTCTGGTACGGCTTGGGTTCATCAGGCGCAGGAAGGTGAGAGAGAAGGAGATATCTCGTATAGCCTTTCGGGAAAGTGGCTTGATCCATTGACATCAGTGGAATCAAGTCCATATATGTAAAGAGCAGGTCTGAAGCCAAGATTTTCCTTTCTAGCTGAGTTTGAAGCTAGTTCTTATCCCTTACTTAAAACTGAATGTTGCCTGCTTATCCCATAAGAGCCAGGATCCCACACTCAACAGTAACTAGGAAGAAATCAGACATAGCTGCTCTTAAGAGGCACTGGCCATTAGGATACACGGGACTGGAATGGACCTCAACTCTGAAAGCAAATAGACTCTGTTTAGTAGAGATTTTACCTTCGCTTAGGCGAAAGACTTCCTGTCTATAGATCTATCTGCCAAGTCACAACATTATCCTTTTACTGAAGTTATATCGATACACCAGATCCCAAAACTGCCAGCTGGAACTTACCACTGATGTTTTTCAGAATACGCTGTCAATCCCCAACTGCGCCACATGGGGAAAAAACACAAACATATTCAAAATGACAAACTTTACCAGGAAACAGGATGGGGTGCTAAGGAGGTGACACTTAATGGTGGAAATGCATAACAGAATTGGTACCCACAGTGAAGATGCCACGGGTGTGATTTATCTGGAGGTAAATGATAACTGTTGAGGGACTTGGCTACACATTTAAATATGCAGAGGGAGACGGAGGGAAGGAGCCTTGTGAGGTCATGGAGCAGTGGGGGAAATCTCTCAGAAGATAGCTTTGGCTGAGTAAAAGCGGATGTCTAGAAAAATGGCCAAAATAAGATAATATTCATACTGACCTGCTGATAGTGTGAGAATTTGAAAAATATGCCAATTGCAACACAGGTAATTGTACTGGGCTTATAAATTAAGCATGGAGGCAAAAGTGAGAATGTTTTCAGACTCACAAATGATAGACAGTTTATTAAAATGAAGTTTCATGAAATTAGGTGTATAAGTAGAAACATTAATTAGTTAAATCAAAGTAATTTCTGATAAGAAAGTACAGTACGGCCCCAGCCAGGAGGCTCAGTTGGTTGGAGCATCGTCCCTTACACCAAAAAAGGCTGCAGTACAATTCCCAATCATGTCACATACATACATAGGTTGCTCTTTCGATCCCGGGTAGGGGCATGTGCAGGAGGCAACCGATTGATGTTTCTCTCTCACATCAATGTTCCTTTCTCTCTGTCCCCTTTCCTAAAACACTGAACATATCCTCAGGTGAGGATTAAAAGAAAGTAAGCACAGTGTAAACCGAATGCTGGGTTGATTCAAGTGTTAAAGAGGAACAGAATGTTTAAGAGGGGTCCATCCACGTGCTGTGGATTTGCTACCAAATTTGGCAAAGCCAAAAGGGCAAATTAGAGAGCCAGGCTGAGGGCAGCTGCCTGTCTTCCTGTGGGCAGACTTGCCTGGAACATTCCTTGTATACTCCAGGCTTTGACTGAGCGAGGGGTAGGATGCGGACAAACCCAGGTGTTTCCCCGCAGACAGGGCTCCTGGGATCTCTTGTTCTACAAGGGGGACATGCACTCATCCAGGAGGAGCCTTTAGGGAAACGGGCTCCCTCCTCAGCTACCCACACACGTTCTCTGGGTCTGGCATCTTCAGAAACTTGTCGAAAGTGCAGTTTATAAAGTTAGACCAGTGCCTCCCACCCTCATTCCTTGAATAGACATACAGTCCCAGAACGTTCTCAGCCACCCTTCCCTTTCAGATCTGGCATCTTCAGAAACTTGTCTAAAGCGCAATTTATAAAGTTAGACAGTGCCTCCCATCCTCATTCCTTGAACAGACATACATTCCCAGAACGTTCTCAGCCACCCTTCCCTTTCAAGCTTTACCTGGTTGGAGGTTTCACTCTCTTTCTCACTCCAAGATAAAACTTCATTGAACTGAGAGGAAACATTTTGTCATGTTTGCTGCTCTGTAAGGAAAACAAAATAGTATGTAATTGAGGAGACTTTACAGATATCCTTGTTATTTGCCTTGGATGGTGATTTGGTTTAGAATTGCTTAGTTTCTCCAATGCTTTATGAATGTAATACCAGCGCTTAGTAAATGAAGATTGTTTTGATTATAATGTTGTAAATTTAAATAGATAAGTTTGGATATGTATGTCTGTTTATATATGTATATTTAAACACACACATAATAATCTCTTATTATTATGGAACCAGATGTATATCAGAATTGATAATTTTTCATTTTTTCATATTTTAAAAATACAATACAATGCATATGCAATATGTTATATAACTCCACCACACTACAGTGTTGCTTGGGGCAGCACCCTTTATTCAAATACATTCATATTTCCACATTAAAATGCATGATATTTCATACAGTGTGCGATAAGTAAAGGCTATAAATATTGTTATAGACAGTGCTTGTATCCCCCTCCGCCCCCAACTGCCTATGTTGAAATCTAATCCCCAGTGTGACAGCATTTGAAGGGGGGGCCCCTGGGAGGTAATTAAGTCATGAAGGTAGAGCCACATGAATGCATCAGTGCCCTTGTAAAGAGGCCAGCGAGCTGGCTCACACTCCCTCCACCAAGTGGGAAATAGACTATAAAAAAGAATTTATATACACTTGCTTTAGATCAATTACACATTCTCCGTACACATTCTGGCATATTTATTTGTGATTAATATTTTTAAAATGTTAACCCTTGAACACAGAACATCAGGAAAGTTGCCTGACAGAAGCAAAACTTGAATCCTTATACTTTCATTTAAAACCTTCATATCAAATCACACAAATTTTATGAGTTATCCTTGCATACCCTGCAACAGATTTTATAAAGATAATAGCCATGGAAGTAATTAACACAAGCAGTCCCTATATCCTAAGTACTCCCCAGGAAATCTCATTTCAAACTGTTAGGCAGACAGCATTTATAGCTGAGAGCACGGGTGTGAGGGTCACAGAGACCTAGGTGCAAATCTGTCTTGATACTTATTAGTTTGTGGCCTCATGTACTTCTCTCAGCTCTTTTTTCTTTAATCCTCATCTGAGGATATTTTTCCATTGATTTTTAGAGAGAGTAGAATTGGGGTGGGAGTGGGGGGGAGACAGAGAGAAACATCGATGTGAAAGAGAGACAGACACATAGACGGGCTGCCTCCCGCAGGAGCCCCAACCAGGGCCAGGGATCTAGCCTGCAACTGAGATACATGCCCTTGACTGGAATCTAACCCAGGACCCTTCAGTCTCAGGGCCGACACTCTCTATCCACTGGGCCAAACTGGCTAGGGCCTTATTTCTTGCTTGTAAACACGGATAATAACAATATTGACTATCGCATAGGGTCATTACGATGATTACATGAGAAAGTAGAGTTACTATGAAGGGTTATTACACAGATTAAATGAGAAAAATGCCTATAAAGGTTTTAGTCTAGTAACTGGAATGTAGAAAGCACGCAGGGAATTATAGCTATTATTATAAATTTAGAACACCCTGCTTCACTGAAATAGCAATATAAACAAGTTATTAGAATCCTAAGACAATGCACAAAAGCCCACTTGACAAATATGTAGCTCGACCCAGTACAAGTTCTATAAAACTTAAACTCTTACTATGAAATCTGCTCTTTATGAAAGCAGCCACCTTTGAAAAGGGTGGGAAGTCTATATAATAAAAGCTCAGCAACCATTAAGGCAGAATGACCAGTTGCTATGACACAATGGCCGCAGGGGCCACCACCAGCACCGCTGTGGACCCCAAGGGCCCCGGGGCCAGTTGAGCGGCCCGAAGGTGCTGGTAAAGAAGAACGCGAAGGTGACTGGTGTGAGCGTGCAGCTTGAGATGAAGGCTCTGTGGGACGAATTCAATCAGCTGGGCACCGAGATGATCATCACCAGGCGGGCACCCCTCTCCCTGCTGCGACCTTCCCCACATGGCGCCAGTCTCAGGGAACAGGCTTTTTCCTGATCCACGCGAGCGAGACTGAGAAGCGGGGTGGGGGGTGCTGCCTGGCCACCTGTGGGTCCCTCTCTGCGTGGGCCATCTCCTTCGCTCTTTGATTCCCAGCTCTAGTGACAGCCACCTAGTGCGCTGGGCCAGAGGGTACTGCTCCGGAGGCCAGGAAGGCGGCGGAGAGAAACCCTGTGGACCTGCTGCCCCACCAGCAGCCCAGGACCTGGCACCACCAGAAACGGACTGGCTCAGAGCACACCGAGCCTGGGGGGAAGGCAGCCGCCTGAGGGGTCTTGCCACCAGCCGTCTCCTGGTGGATCCCACCTCAAAGGAAACTCGGTCTTTGGTTCCCTTAGTTCAGTCTATCCCAGCTAAAGAGGAGTAGCTGGGCACATTTTAGGGTAGAATTAAGACTTTAAAACAGTGTGTTCTGGTTCCATGGAGATTGCTACCCAGTTGTGTTAGGCCTAAATTCAGCGTGATTGTGGGGCCTGGCTCTGCCACTGGGCCTGCGTCTCCCAATTGGCCTGTATGTGTTGTAAGGGCCCAAAGAGAAGAAGGGGAACAAGTTTTTTGATGTAATGGATTTGACCAACAGACAAAGGCTAGTGCCAGGCTGTGTCTAATGTACACACAGAGATACCAGCTCTGAGTCTGCCTGGCCAAAGCTCAGTGGGTCTTCTTCAGGCCTCTCCCCGAAGCCAGCCACTCCTATGGCTGACTCCAATCGGCTCCCCCGCCTTAATCAGGGGTGAGGCTGGCCAGCCAACCTCCGGTGGCCTCTCCCCCCGGCCTGCCCGGCCTGCCGGACCCCATCTGTGCGTAAATTCATGCACCGGGCTTCTAGTATGTTTATAAAATAAAAACTTGGTTTCCACAGAGAACACAGGTTAGGAGAATATAGCAGAAAAAGTAAGCAGGAAGATAAAAAATTATGCTTTGGTGACCAGTGGCCTCTGTGGCAGCGATGCTAAGGCCTGGAATTTACATGGTGGATTTGCTCTTAGTCACTATTATTAAATGTTTGCTCTTATAATCATAGTAGATAATTTAATAACATATATATTTTGGATATATTTTCCTTTATGGCTAGATTTCTAGAAATGGAGTATCAGTTCCTTATTGAGGCTAAAAACTTCAGGCTGATTTTTAAATACGCTAATTTGTCATCCAACTACAAAATGACTCTTAATCAACATAAGTATACAGAAGGACAAGGATGAAGGAACTCCGTCTAAAAAAGACTACGGTGGGTGAGCCCCTGAAGAAAACCAAATAAAATTCAACCTAGAAGACTTAAAGGTCAGCTGTGGTTTTTAACATTTACTCTCACGAATATAAACCTAAGTTCGTGAACCTTGAAATCTGGTGTTTGGTTCACTAACCCCAAATTCTTATGTGGCTTACTTCTGCAAACTCCACCCTTCTTGTACTGAAAAAAAAAAAAATCTGAAGAAGAATAACAAACAGTATCTTGGTACCTGCACAGACACCCTGCTGGGTCTTATCAGATGGAATGGCGAAGTGGAAGTTCAAGTAGGGAAGATAAGACAGACCTCTGAATGGAGGGATAAGGGCTGCAGACTTCAGTGCTGTCCTACCAGCCCCCATGCCTGGACATCCCACTGTCTTTAAAAGTGAGTATGAGATGTCTACACAAAGTTGGAATGTTAAGATTTATTTAAGGCCACACACGGAGGCTTCTCTGGAGAAACACAGAGGGAAAGGGGTTAAAGGTGTGGAGAGCTCAACAGATACTTTCCTAAAATGGGGCTAACTATCCTCTCTTCATAACATATTAACAGATGTGACTACCCTGTTCTTTCTTTGTACATCACCAAAACAACATAGTGAAGTGCCACACACTTACAGTATTATGCAAGCAATGTTTACCTCAAGTGAATTGTATAATTCAAAATAAAAAGTATCTCCAGGTCCTGCTGTCATTTAGCATTTAAAGTAATTACATGGGTATTACCAGAATCTCAAGGAATTAGAGATGATACTGCAAATACCCATGTGACCACCACTGAAAACTAGATAGAGAATATTTTTTTAAAAAGATTTTTAATTGATGTTTAGAGAAAGAGGAAGGGAGAAGGAGAGAGAGAGAGAGAAATGGGAGACATTGATTAAGAGTGAATCGATCGGCTGCCTTCTGCACTCCCCCTACTGGGAGTGGAGCCCACAACCCAGAAATGTGCCTTACCAGGAATCGAACCTACAATCTTTCTTGTCACCTCAGCAAACACTTTCTACTTTCTGTCACCATTCATGGTTTTGCCCGATCTTAGAATTACAGACAGACTCGGATGGTAGTGTTTTGTGTGAAGCTTCTTCTACTCCACAAGGATTTCAAGATGCATCCATGTTGCTGCATGCATGAGTATTCACTTATTTTACTGCTGAAGAGGATTCCATTGTATGAACTTATCATTCTTATATTGACAGTCACTTGGAATGTTTCCAGGTTGCAGCTTTTGTGAATAAAGCTGCTTATGAACATTGCTGAACAAACACTTTTATGGACATAATAACCAGGAACAGAACTGCTGGGTCCCGGGGTAAATGCTCTAATAACCGTATCTAACAACTGCCCAACATTTCTACACAGTGATTGTGACTGTGCCCCTCCGTCAGCAATTTATGAGAGTTTTCGTTGACCAACGTCCTTGCCCACATTAGGTGTTGTCACTCTTACAATTTTAGTCAACTTAAAGAGTAAAATAGTATATCAGAGTTTTAATTTGCATTTAGTGATTTCCATTAGCTAAACTCAAGCCACTTTTGCCTTAGGGCATGACACACTCTCCCGGTCCATTTTATTGACTGAGATGCTGACTAATACGCTTGTTGAAGTAACACATATAAGACTTTTCTTTAGGACTTAAGTCATCCCCTGCCCTAAAAAATGTGAGGTGCTCATAAAGGCCACATGTGGAGTTTTCACTGCGCTCCTGGGTGCATTAATGGCAAGCCCAGTGGCTGAGAGGATTCCTCAGCTTACTCTGCATTTTACTTTATTTACTACGGGCCTTGACTTCCAAGAGAGAGGGCTGAGAAAGGTATAAGATAAGAATGTAAATACCCACACAGAAACGTGTACATAGTCAAATACTACATATGCAAATACCTTCAGGTCCTTGTAAAGAATCAGATACCCATCTCGTAAAACACAGTGCCGATCTTGAAATTTATTTCCAGACAGTATTTTAGATGGTTCTTCTTTGATTTTCAGGGCTCCCTCTTTGATGCTTTCCAGGGCATTTCTCTCTGTAAAGTACATTATTTTTGTAAGTGAGGTACATTTTCATTTATTTGGAACAGAATATAAAACATTTCTATACTTGCAGTTTTGATATTATAAAGTAATCACTTGTTTCCTAGCATTAAGAAGCCTATGGGTAATTTCTGGGAATAGCACATGTCAGGGGTGTGTCGGACAAGTTGCAGACCCACCGACTGGATCTATTTATATTTGTAATACATAGGCCTGCCTATACTGTCCCATTAGCACTTAAAACATGGTGAGTCTCAATCGAGATGTGCTATAAGTATAAAATATACTTACAGATTTTGAAGACAGTTCAAAAAAGTTAAAAAAAGTCTCCCAATTTTGCAATATTAACTACATGTTGAAATGATAATATTTTGGATATATGACTTTAAATGAAATATACTAGTAAAATTAATGTCACTATATATAGGTATTAATGTGGTTACTAAGCAACTTAAAATTACATCATCAGCTTGCCTCATATTTCCTTTCAACAGCACTCATATGAGAAACCTCTACCAGAATTCTGACAAAGGAATCAAAGAATTTTTAAGTTGATCGAGAAATTCCTGTCAACACGAAACAGGTAAGAGTAACAGGGCAAAATGGCTAAGGTAGAGTATTTAACATCAACTATATTTCATATGCAGTACTGTGATTATCCCACGTGTAGGAGTCTTTTCAACTAATTTTATTAAGAAAACACTTTTTGGTAAGAACACCAAATTCGTATTTGCATAAATTTATCACTCTATCTCCGTAAATTTATCATGTATGAGTGTATCAATATATCTCCAATCTAAAAGTTTCTCCTGGAAATCCAGACAGTGATCAGCTGCCTGCCTGAGACCTGAAGTGCAGTGGACAGAAAGAGCATTGAAGCCAAGTAGCCATGACACTGTCATTATGATGTCAACTCCTGCTTTTCCTATAAAACAGGAAAAATCACACTTGTCCTGCAGGTTGCTGTGGCCCACATATTAGATGGTGTCCACAAAAGATGCAGAGTGGGACACCATATCAGGACTTGAAACTTTAGCGATTTCTTAGTGTTAAGGTTATACAATTTTAAAATATTCATGCATAGTTTCCAGTTAAAAAACTTGAAGACATGTTTTAATACAACTGGAAGATCAAGAAAAAAATAAACATCATATAAAACTAGTATACATTTTAGACTTTTCAAATGTTCATGTATTTTATGATATGTGATTCGCATGCAACTTTCTGAAGTAGGGAGTAGAGGTAACACAATCTCATCTTGTTTTTATTTAAATATTAGAGGCCCAGTGCACGAATTTGTGCATGGGGTGGGGAGGAGAGGGACCACGGGAGGTTGGCTGCCAGCCCCAAGGAGGGAGCCGGTCCTTGGCCCCCCTGGGAAAGGGGCCACGTCTGCTGCCACCCACCCCTGGTTCCCCATCCCAGCCTGAAACCCAAAGGTCCTGGCTGGGTGCAGAAGGAATGGATGCTGGACACCGACGCTGCCATTGGTGCCTCGCCACCGTGCAGTTCCCTGCCTTCCCTCGCCACCGCGCCACCACTGCGGTGGGCAGGCGGCCCCCGGGGAAGGGAGAGGATGGGAGTGAGGCAGACCCTTGTGTCAAGGGCTGACTTTCAATAGATTGCAGGGAGGGAGCTGCTCTGCTACGTATGAAACCTCGACCCAGAAGCAGGTCTCTATGAATAGTTTAACACCAGGGACCGATGGGGGCCAGCCGGCTGGCTAGGGGGAGGGGCTGTGGGAGGTTGGCTGTGGGAGCGCACTGAGCATCAGGGGGCAGCTCCTGTGTTGAGCATCTGCCCCCTGGAGGTCAGTGCACGTCATAGCTACTGGTCGACTGGTTGTTCTGGCTGTTCAGTTGTAACAGTTGCTTAGGCTTTTATATAGATAGATAGATATTTTTATTGATTTCAGAGAGGAAGGGAGAGGGAGAGAGGGATAGAAACATCAATGATGAGAATCATTGATCGGCTGCCTCCTACACACTCCCTAATTGGGATCGCACCAGCAATTGGGCATGTGCCCTTGACCAGAATTGAACCTGGCACCCTTCAGTCCACAGGCAAATGCTCTATCCACTGAGCCAAACAATCTCATTTTATGAATGAGAAAATTGTGGCTCACAAAGGTTATGTAGTTTAGAAGGCAAGTGTACTAGAATCACAGTTCAGGTCTCTTAATATCTAACACAGAATCCTGTCTTTTATACTGAGACACTTCTAAGTAATCGTCACAATTATGATCACCACCATTACCACAATAATAAATATCTGGGTGCCTTTCCTGAACTCATACCATTTTACACTGCACTCTTTATCTATAACTTACTCTTTTGATGATTTCCGTGACACTGCTCTGTCTTTGTTTTCTTGAAAGCTTTCTAATTGTTCCTTCATACATCATGGGCCTCTCTTGATACACCCATCCCTTACATGCAAATGATGGTAACTCTATATTCAGCTTTCTAATGTTCTGTAATAAGTAAGCAGCATGATCTGGTGTTCTCCCACGGCTAAAACCACGTCCCCTGCAATGAGCTCCATTGCTTCCTTAGGTCCCTTCCAGACACCTACCCCTGGACACACTTCACAGACAAGTAAAACCCAACACATCCAAAACAGAATTCAGTGACCCTACCCCTGTGTCAACCCAAATAGTAACCTCTTCTAGGCTCCCGTTCTTAATGGCTCAGGAAGCATCTAAAGCAAGACACTGAGAAGTACAAACCGTGGTCTCTGTAACAATACACTGCTAATTTCCCTTAGAAAACATGCCCTTACTACCCAGATAAAAGTGAGAGAGCAGTCCAGTGAAATTTTGTCCGAAACTTCCTCAATTACAAAGTGTTTTATTCATTTATATTTTTAAAAAGTTTACTCAACAGGTACTTTTAGTGAGCAAAGGAATGAGATAGAGTCTTATAATGGAAGATCAAGACATACAAGAAAAATTACACGGGAGATATTTCCTTGACCAAGAGACATGCAGTGTTAGGAAGGATGTCAATGACCTTGGAGCTGAATCACCTTTCTGTGCCTGAAAGCTCTGCATAAACATACGCATCCTGGCCTACAGTAGTCACTTATAGCATCTTGTGTTTGTATTTACATTTATTTTTAAACAGTCTTCATACATTTAGCTTTTCTGTTCCTCGTGGGAAAAGATAATCCTCTATATTTTCCACAGATTCCTGTATGAAACAGAGAACTAACAGAAACTTATCAATTGGTTTTCTCAGTACCAAATAGTAACATGAGAAAAAGTCAGGACATTCCTACTCTATCTACAGTGAATAACCAAAGACTATCATCAAGTCCCAAGAAAATACTTCCACTTGAGGTGGACTAGGTCTTACCTTCGGATTTAAAAAGATTTGATGGAAGTGGAATGTAAATTATTTTAGCTAGACTATGACTTATAGACTCATGCTATTTCTGCTGACATTTTCTTTTTATTTTCTTGAGTCAGTTGATAGTGGATGGCTCAGCTTTCCAGGTCTGAACTTGCCGGAAGCAGATGCATTTTAAACTATTGGATTCTAATGCAAATTTAATTCCAAAGCATCTGTCCTATGCAGCAATCTAAATTTAGAAACCCACAGGGATCTGCATTTGAGTTACATCTTATATCTTAAAAGTATTTCTTCCCTATTGAGATCATTAAAACTAGACTCCCATGCATTACATTCTATGGAGGTAATTTTTAAAGAACTTTAGCACTTAAAATAAGGCTTCAGCAACATAAAATTATTTATTCTGGAACCTTACAGAAGCTATAAATATATGCCTTACTTGTGATAGAAATGTTCAAACAACTCAATATGAGAGCTAATGATAAAAGATTGTCTAATAAGGTTAGCTATGACAAAGTCTACTTAGCCATTTTAATGAAGTTTTATACTCCCTATCTCAATGTCTCGGTCATAATCCATGGGGTAGAAAAGAAATTTGAGGACTATTATCTTTCTTTTCAAGTTAGTTAACTCCTCATTACAATAATGACAATGGCGCAAACTGTTTCTAAGAAATCAAATGTCGCTTTGGAAAAGCACAGAATTGATTTTTAAGTAGAGGCAACAGAAAATTCATTTACTCTAGTATACTTCTATAAAAGCAAGGTATGTTACCTCATTACCTTAAATGAATGAGCAGAAATTAAGTGTTGGCTGATTCTAAATCTATTCCTACGGCTATGTCTACATTTTAAACTGTTCAGAAAAAGTGAGGAAACTCAGAAAACTAACACTCCTAAACCTCCAAACGTATTATTTGATAAAAATTCTTCATTTAGCATGAAGGTGGTGAAAACATGTCAATCGAAAGGATATGCTTAGAATTTATGACATTAATAAACAACTATCACATGGATGCCGTTGTAATAACCTGGTAATTACAGGAAAGGAGGAAAGGGAAGACTAGAGGCAGGCATGCCATTTACACAGCTTTGCCCAAAAGCTGCATCTGACACTTTCCAAGTCTGCTCCCCACTGAGTGATGGGGGAAGGGACCATGCCCAGTAAGGTCTGAGTGATGTGGAAAGGTGCCTGCCTATCTGCCCATCACAGCCAGAAACAAATTAGTGGTCAAAATGGGCATGGCCACTGCAAGCACATGAAACCTGAATACACTTCAAACAATGGAAGTTCTCACTCTTCTCTCTCACATGCTGGGTCCTGTGACTCCTGTGGCAGGGGCTCACAGCCGTGTGGGGCTGCTCCCCACAGGGACTAATGGACTTTAATGAGTGTGGGTGCTGAGCCACACCGGCTACAACATGGAAGGGAAGCTCTGGACATGGCCTGGCTTCTGGCTCTGCTGGAGCCCCAGCTGCACCTTTTCCGGGACTGGCTTAAGGGGCAGGGGACTTTGGAACCTGAGAGACATAACTTCACCAAATAAAGCCTTCTTCCACCTCCGCCTGTCGGGGCTTCTGAAAATTCTTTCAGCCATTTCCTAAGAACCTATACCTCACTCCTACGAGCGACAGGGAAGTTTAATTCTCCTGTAACAATGCAATTAATAAAATGCAAGTCACAGAGATATTTTTGTGTGTAAATATATAGTTGGAATAATGTTAGGTGGACAGAGAGTAAAATTTGTGGCAACTAGGTGTCACGTTTGCGTGGACAGGGTGCAAAGGTTATTGCTACTCAATGCTTCAAAAAATGTTAACGCATTAGCTATTGTTTTACTGAGAGAGAACGTGGCTGCAGCCAACCACCCTAGTTTCAAACTTAGCTGACTTCTACTTGGGCCCCAGCTTAGAAAAAGAAAACCTTCAGCGAGAGAAATAGCTAACCTTATTGCATCTTACTGCGAAGAGCAATGTATTTCTGAGGTGACGCCAATATTTCTAACGAACTGACAGAGACATCACATTCCATTTACTCTCATTATTTTCCTTTCAGATGCCAAGTTTAAGTGGATGTATGGAACGAAGCAATGATTCTGGAGTTGGTGGTCATTGTGATTGATTTAGGAGACATTTGCCAAGACAGAGACAAAGCAGATTGAACATCTAACTCCCTGAAAATCTATCACCACGTATATCCCATAAAACGTGCTTCTAAATGCCAGGCTGCTATAATACACAAGTATAGGGGACAAAAATCATTACTTAAGAAGTTGATTTAAAAACACACGCACACACACAAACCACAGGCCAGAGCCGATTTAAAGGGGTCATCCTAAATCCACACAGATGCAGAACCACCACAGTGAAAGCGATTGTTTTGCTTTGGCAATCTAAATATAAATCAAGCTCTAATGAACAACATTTATACATATTTTGTTGGCTAGAAAACTATAAAGAGTATTTTAAAAATGTACTTCATAGGTACTCCTCTATTTGACCCAAAATACAATAACTACTAATGTGAAATGGTCCAATTAATGTACTTGCTGACAGTGTTACACTAAAACCTGATGTTGTTCATGCAATGAGACCGTTTCCTGGTAGGAAGAAGTATAGATATGATAAGCTGCATGTTGGTTTGGCAAACTGAGGCAGGAATAGCGCAAGGGCAGGTATGTGCTTCAGCTCCACCCTGTTCGAGGAAGGAATGAGACACGAGAGTAACACCAAAGTTACTCTAGAGAATGCTTCATCCAAATCCTAAAACTGTCACTGACCAGTAAGCCTGCCTCCACTCTGGGGTTCTCCAGCTCTTACGCAAGGTGTCGGTCTAGACCTTATAAAGGCATGATGCTTTCACAACAGAAGGACACACTCACAACCCCAGGAAGGCACAGGAGTATGGGAGGCATCATTATACTGCCCCGTCTTCCTACCCAGCTTGTGGGCAGAGCCCATGTTCAGTCACACTACCATTCTTCTTGTCTTTAATCAGCATAAAGAGTTTAATTCAAATGTCATTGCTCTCAACCTGCTCTATCTCCTCGCCCCCCCAAGACCAACAGAACATAATGGTCTCCTTATTTGGATTATTTTTCACTCCACCTGCACAAAACCTCAATTTACACCACAGCCTTTTAAGATCCTATTTTTGTCTATTTGTATTCACAAAGCCAGCCCATTAACATTCAAACAAGAGCTGAGGTATTATGTCTAAGTGTACTACGTCTAAGTGTGGGTTTCAAGTGTTTCGCAGCATGGAAGAATTAGACATTTAGAGGAATACTAGAATATTCTCACCGGAAAACACTATACATTTACCTGACAAGTTGGCTGATTTTCTAAAAGAAAAGAAACCACAAGAACTTATTACATGTGTTTCATAATGTTGACAGGACTTGGTTCCTAAGCTCCATAATTGTTCTTTATCTCAGTGTTACAATGAAAACTACAGAATTTAAGAACTAGAACAGATTTCACAGATTATCTAAATCAGAAATTCTCAGCATGGGGACCGTTGACATTTGGGGCAGATAATCCTTAGTTGTAAAGAGCTGTGCTGTGGACTGTAGGATGCTTAGTGGCATACCTTTTGTCTCCCACTAAAGACCTGAAGCACCACCCCACCCAGCTGTGACAGTCAGAAATGTCTCCAAACATTGCCAAATGTCCCCTGGGAGACAATACTGCCCCACCCCTGAGAGCCACTGGATACCCAGAGAACTTCATAATTCAGGAAGAAGGTTCACCAGCTATCTGAACATCAGAAAAACAGTGAAGTATGGCAAGAAGCCCTTCCAACATAAACCGTCCCTTCCAAAAACGTTAACTTGGTACCATCCGATGAGCCAACTATTACCATAGCGCTAGGCTTCAGGGAACCTGACTCTGGCACATGGCACTCCTGTGCACATACCTGCTCTTCCTCCTCTTGGACAATACTATGTCAGCGGGATCTGCAGTTAGCTACTCATTTTTACTTTTGACATTTGCAAATGCCACTTGTGCTGTAGTCACTATCCTTCAACCACTTGAACTTTCCGTCAGAGTTGCAATGTGAGATAACAGCAGCACCTACCGTTATAGTGTCTGATGGTGTCGGTGGTTAAAAACCTCTTCACCACGAGATAAGCAGAGCCAGGCTCAGCTAATGAGCTCCACCGAAGCACCTGCTCCAACACATTTTCTGTGTAGTGAAGAGGGCGCTCTGCAAAGTAAAACCAAAGCAAGTTAAAATATCATTTTTTATAATTACACATTCTTTAAATCCTTTAAAAAATCTGTATTCAACAATAAGCATAATCATAGCTTGTTACACAAATATAGCATTAAGACTACATAAAAGGGACTGTTAACACCTAGAACACCAGTATATAATAAAATTTACTGCATAAATGAATCTATCAGGAACATTTGTGGTTTGCACAATGATTTTTTTAAAAAATCACAGATGCTATCCTTTAGATAAAATTTCAGAAATAATGCTAACCTTATATATAAAAAATCAGTATCTTATACTATCTTCTTTTTTTATCTTTTTAAATATGTGTTTATTGATTTCAGAGAGGAAGGGAGAGGAACAGAGAAATAGGAACATCAATGACGAGAGGGAATCATTGATCAGCTGCCTCCTACATGCACCCCTTTGGGGATCAAGCCTACAACCCAGTCACGTGCCCTGACCGGGAATCAAACCATGACCTCCTGGTTCATAGGTTGATGCTCACCACTGAGCAACACTGGCCGTGCTTACAGTACCTTCTTTTGAATTTAAAGCAACATTCTGGTTTGCTTATGGAAATCTGTCTATTTTTCACATGCAATTAAATAATTGTGAAAAGACTAGCAAAATTACTCTTGTCCAGTAGCAAGTGATAATATAAATTAATCCTAAAGATTAGCATATTATAATTTCTGATCAATAGTGAACTTATAGCTGATATTCGTAGTCAATTAATATAAAATCATAAAATATAACTTCAACAGAGATCATATGAAAACAATCAATAAATATTCTAATAGTTAATCTATGTTTAACTATTGGTGGAAACATCAATTAGAAACATTATGTGACAATATTATACATTAACTGTTGATATAAAGAAGCAAAAACCAGAAGTTAATGACCTCTTAAAGATTTCTCCTTGATAAATACTCATCCATATACATTTTGTTTTAGGCAATCATATTTTTTAATGCATGAGAAGTTCTTAGCACTGAGTTAAAAAATAGATTTTACCATTATAATGAAAGCCTCATAGAAAAGTTTTTTGCTGATCAAAATATGCCAATCATTTAATAAAAAGTTACAACAAAAGCATATATTGGGGGAAAAATTCAATCCTTTCACAGTACACTAAAAATAGTATAATTGAAACAGCAAGAACAGAAGCTCTAACAGGAAGATGCTGATGTAGCTTCCCCAATAAAATCACCAAACGTAAGTCAATTCAACTCTTTCACACCCTTCTAACTGTAAAGCACACAGAATTTGAGCTTTTCATTTTGGTTAAAGTAGGAATGGCAATGACAAACAAGAAAGAATCTGTTTATATCATAATCACATATGAGCCATGATATTTTAATTGGTGATAAAATCACAAGTATGACAACCAAATAGATAATATTCCTCTTAACATATTCCATAGCATACAAATTGCTGAAAATTCAGTGTAGTTACTAGTCTGCCCTGCTATGACCACAGGCATTCCAGAACTTATCAGCAACCTCAGGTCCACAGAAGAAGAAAACAAATTTTCTGCCTCCAATGTAAATACCAGATTTTTGCTTACTATTCAGTACAATGTAATGCAGTTCTGCATTCTGTGTTTATTGGAGCAAGCCAATGATGATGGCAATTCAAATAAGGAAGAAAGAAATAATGGGTGGATGTTGGATGGATGGATAGAAGGAAGGAAGGAAGGAAGGAAAGAAAGAAGGGAGGGAGAGAGGGAGAAAGGGAGGGGAAAGAAAGAAGAGCAACTGGGCCACAGATCTTTAAGATTTATCTCCCTCTTGTTTACAAATATATCCCTGTACACAGTAGAGTGCTGAGTATGTATATAATAGATGTTCAATAAATATTTGAGTAATGAAGTACCTTATGAGTTTCTATGGTGGACTATAATTAATGGAAAATATCTGTAAGTGGATCAACAGGCAGAATATAATTCTTTGTGAAACTAAAGAAAATATTTTATGCTACAGCAATCTTGCTTTTCTTCAAATAATTTTGCAATAGGTTTGGCAAAGATCATAATTGCCCATAATTTGCCAAAGCTATAATTAATTGGTAGTCTTCTATTAATAGAGGTTATAATTCAATTGAGCTGTATTTAAAAATAAAACTAATTATAATTTGAAGTCATAGCCACAGGAATCAGATAAGAAAAATAAATAAAAATGTATCCAAGTTGGAAAGTAAGAAGAAAAACTGTCACTATTGCCAGGTGACATAAAACTTTATATAGAAAAACCTAGACACCACCAAAAAAGTATTTGAATAAATGAATGCCTACAAATAATTTTATGGATAGTTACATTCACAATCATCTATCATGATAGATTATATGGTGTGTAAATGATCTGGCATTAAGTTATTATTAGAAATAACTCATTTATGTATTATCCATAGCATAAAAATTGCTGAAAATTCAGTGTAGTTACTTAAGAACAGGTTATGGAGGAAGTTAGCTAGGTAAATCACATTATTAATAGTTTCAAACCTTGTTTACAGAAAAATACCTGGCCGCCCTTGTTAAAACGAGAACTATCCATTTTTCACTTGAAATTATAGGTATTGTGGTTAAATTTCTGGTGATAATGACACAGGATTTCCCTAGACAACTATGACTTCCCCAATAATTAAAGTCTTAGTGCCAAACTTCGAGTGGTGCAAGTCTGTCCCCGTCCTGTCCATATAATTAGAGGGCGACTACACGTTGTGTCAATCAAGGGAAGGGCTGGACGGGACCCCAATGAACAATGAACAGATCTTCTGTATCAGAGCAGCTCTGAGGAAGAATTAGCAAAACATTTCACTGTGATACTGCTGCACAGAAAGTGTCTCACAAGCTTGATCTGCTCGGTGAAAAAGCCATTTCAATGAGGCCCTTCTCAATGTAAGTTACTGTTTTTCAGCAAGTCAAGGACCTACAGAATATGGGGCTATCCCAGCAGAGGACAGGCTCAGTTTTAGGGTGAAGCATTAAAATAAGAGCACCCTTTAGAAGAGAAGCTCTTGATGAAGGTAACAGCCTCTCCCAGGGCGGGTGTCAGCTTGTCTAACGACTGGCAGCAGTGGGTCAAGGATGCTTGGCCTCTCTCAGGAGATGGGACGAAGGAAGACTTCTTCTCTATCCAATACAACATTTTTTAACAGTTCTTTTAAAAAGTTATTTTTTTGTTCTTTCGACCATTTGTTAACTGTCGTCAGACACAGAGAACATAAAATCTGCCCTTTTCACATGTACCACTTTATGTACACATTTTACATGTACAATTCAGTGGCATTAATGGTGTTGTAATTTCAAGCGTCCCACCAGGCAGTGAGAGTGAAAACCTACTTATAAATTAACTGAGCCTAGACTCTCTGCTTTATGCATATAAATTCTCAAAATATGTTCTATGGTTTTAACCTGATGTATTTTTTTCCATGAATCTGACTACCATATGGGAAGAAAACGATCATGCTTTGTCAGAACTTTCTAGGAATTGTTCACCGCTTGTGAGCGTCTGAATGTCTGTCCGCCCCCCTACCACCCCCCCCTCCCCTTGCAAAAAAAAATTGTTAGGTTGACACCGAATCCCCAGTGTGATGGTATTAGGAGGCAGCACCTTTGGGAGGCAGAGTCCTCACGAATGGGACAGGTGCCCTTATGAAAGAGACTCACAAAGCTTCCTCCCACCATGTGAGAAATGAGAGAGAAGTCAGCCCTCTGGGTCCTGGGAAGCTGATCTCTCTCTCCAGACACCAAATCTGCCAGCACCTTGACCTTGGACTTCTCAGCCTCCAGAGCTGTGAGAAATAACTGTCTGTAGTTTATAAGCCACCCAGGCTGTGTAATTCTGTTATAACAGCCCAAATGGACTAAGACACCACTTCACCAACAATAGCAATGCTTCCACTGATGTGTGAGCCACAAACTGACATGCTTACAGCAGTCTGCATTGGAGCCGGCACATCCCTGAGAAGTTCACACAGGTGTGGAATCCATTTTCATTACCTCTGACCATACACAAGTGTGTCGGCAGTTATATGTTCTACTAGACATTCTCCTTTCTCATTTTATATTATAATTAGGGTGCTATATTCTCGGGGTGGTGGTGGTGGTAGGGGTGTGGGGGGTGCAGGAAGAGACTGGACAAAAATCATACACCTATGGATAAGGACAGTGGGGGGGGGTAAGGGCAGAGGGTGGGGTGGGAACCGGGTGGAGGGGAGCTATAGGGGGGAAAAAGAGGAACAACTGTAATAATCTGAACAATAAAGATTTAATTAAAAAATGGTAAGTATAATAGATTATCTCAAGAGAGTAAAGGGAATCTTAAAGAATAATTATTATACAAAGTAGGCACTGGATATGACAGGGCAGAGACTGTTGCTTTAAAATTTGCAGACACCTAAAGTAAAACCCAGCACTTCTGGTTCACTTATTTATCCGTGTATTCATGTATCCTCAGTTACCTGCGTACTTGGAGGATTTGTATTTACATTGGAAAAGGCACCGATCCCCTGCTGACACTCCTATCAGCTGCAATCTTGTGACTGCCAATGCCTTCACCTTCATCTTCTTTTCATATTTCGCTTTATGCTCCCTGCATGTTTCCAGCAATAAAGCTTTTAACATTTCAGGAGGTCAGGTGGAGCCACGGCTCCGTCTGCTTCAGGAAGCCAACATAATTACAGGCCCCTTTGGGCTCCTCACTTTGTTCCTCTAAAAGCTGGGAAAACCATCTTCGTTTTCTCGGCTGGCGTTTCTACTTGAACAGCTGACCCAACATTAAAACCTTGCCAAATCTGAATTCTGCACTCCATCAAATGTATTCTTCCTTGAGGTATATGGGGTGTTCCTTTGATTATATATTTGGACATGCACATATCAAAACAACTTGAGGACTCCTACTCTTTTTATAGCTCCAACAAGATAACTTTTTTTTTATTAGACAAGTAGCCAAAAGAGCAACAAAATAACAACAACCCCACCCCAACCCACCTGTACCATTTGTGATGTACTCATTGTCACATGCAAGCCAATACTCAGTCATTTCCAGGGTAAGCAAGCCCTTCATTTTCCAAGATGAAATTTAAAGACAGTATTTCTAAGTTTATTACAATCTCCTTCTTACCCTCATGCATTCTGCTTGCTCCTCTTAGTCGGGAGGACTGATGCCCAAAGATACAGGGCCCCCATGCTGTGACAGAGGGGCATGCTTTGACTCAACCCTTGAGAGGACAGGGTGGTAGGGAGACGATGCCTACCCCCAAATTCTTGATTCCTTATCGTGCGGTGGATCTCCAAGAAACACAACAGATACAGAGGCAAGCAGGAGACAATCTGCTGTCTCAGGCCTCACCAGGGCCCTGAGATATCCTAGGAGTTGCTCATCTACAAGCAGAAATCATTTTTTACGTGCCTGCGGCATTTCGATACATTTGTCCAAGAAGCAACAATCCAGGTCACTCAGGTTCAGAATACATCTATTTCAGGTGCCACCTCAGTTAACAAGATATTTGCAGGATGTGTTCCACATCAATGCACTATGCTAGAGACAGTGAGAGATATAAAGGTCCTAAAGAACATGTGGTCTAGGGCAGAGCCCGATGTATACATACTACTATTCAATAATCAGACAGTACACAGTATTATAGATCTACTAGAGGATCTGGGAGCCCTCGGGGGATGTCTGATTGACAGCTTAGGCCCACTCCCTGCGGGCCTAAGCCGTCAGTCAGACATCCTTAGCACTGCCATAGAGGCAGGAGAGACTCCTGTCACCACCATTGCGCCTGCCAGCCATGAGCCCAGCTTCTGGCTGAGAGGCACTCCCCTTGTGGGATCAGGCCAACACTGGCTCTCTGACATCCCCTGAGGGGGTCCCGGATTGCAAGAGTGTGCAGGCCAGGCTGAGGGACCCCACTGGTGCACGATCAGGGCCGGGGAGAGACAGAGGAGTTTGGCCAGCCAGGGAGGGACTTGGGGAGGGCTCCAGGGAGTGTCCAGTCCATCTCGCTCAGTCCCAATCAGCTGGACCACAGCTGCAAGCTAACCTACCAGTTGGAGTGTCTGCCCCCTGGTGGTCAGTGCATGTCATAGTGAGCATTTGAGCGGCCTTAGCAAATAATTAGCATATTACACTTTGATTGGTTGAATGGCCAACTGGACACTTAGCATATTAGGCTTTTATTATATAGGACAAGCATATAATCAGAAAAAGACAAGTGAGAACTATGTTTATCCAAGTATCATCATGGAGAAGAGGCATTTGAGCTGGATCTTGCAGAAAGGATAGGCAATGAGTAAATAATGAGAGGAACAATTTTAAATGATGGAGCAATATGATCCTATTTGTGATTTAGAAAGGTAATCCTGGCAGTAATGCCAACAGTTGCCTTTTATTCACAAATATGGTGGAGTTGATAACCTAGCCCCTCGCCTTAAAATTAAACATCAAAAATCAAAGACTCTACCACCATTAATCCATATAGTGATGCAAAATTGTGCTTCGCTTGTGCAAGAGATTTTAATTGTATGGAAACTACGTTTTAGGCACTGTGCCCAATGCTAGAGATAGAAAAAGAGAGTTCCTCCTTCCTTCTGATGAGCTCCCATTGAGAGAGATGCGTCCGAGCTCCCATTGAAAAAGATGAGTCCATGTGATGGGCTCTATAAAGAAAGACAGAACAAAGTGCACTAAAACCTTAGTCTGCATATTAAAGGAGGTCAGATGGAGAAAGAGTAAAGAACATTCAGGGAACACCCCCTCACACGTGTTAGTCAAACACAAAGAATGGAAGAACCTTATCTATAAAGAACATGTCAAATGAGAAAAGATGGCAAAGGAGATCAGAGCAGCAGAAACTCACCTCTTAGGAGACAAAGGAAGAAGAATTGACGATAATCAGAGGGCCAGAAAAGGGGAATGGTCATTAACAATAAATGCCACAAAAAGGAAAAGTGCTGTGAAGCCTGCAGCAAAGCCATCAGACTTGGCATTGGGGGTGGGTGGCCACGGGAGTCATCTGCCAGAACACTTTCTGTGAGAGGGAAAGCCTGACCCTGCCTGGGGAGGAGACGCAGGTGGACCAACACCAAAGCATCAGAGTCACTGACTCTTGACAGTGAATATTGCCAATTAACATTTTAATACAAATGAGATGTTTTTGTTACTGTTAATCCTCATCCGAGGATATTTTTTCCAATGGTTTTTGGAGAGAGTAGAAGGGAGAAAGGGAGGGGGAAGAGAGAGGGAGAGGGAGAGGGAGAGGGAGAGGGAGAGCGGTAGAGAGAGGGAGAGGGAGAGAGAGAGAGAGAGAGAGAGAGAGAGAAAGAGAATGAGAGAGAGGAACATAGATGTGAGACATACACATCGATCTGTGGCCTCCTCCAACCAGGGCCAGGGAGAGAACCTGCAACCCAGGTACATGCCCTTAACCAGGAATCAAGTCCTCAACCAGGAATCGAACCCTCAATCTTTTGGTGCATGGGTTGACACTCTAACCACTAAGAAACACCAGCCAGAGCTACAAATAAGATTCTTAAAGAACTGTGCATGATTTAAAAAAATGACGGCCTAAAAACATCAAGAATGGAGTAATGAAAGAAACTACGTGATAATCCCATTTTGTTCTAATTTGATTACAACATTCCTCATAGTACCCGATGGGGTATTTCAACGTTGAATTTTCATTTTTATCCTGAGCTTGCAGTGGCAACATTTTACGGTTGGCAGTTCGACAGCTATGCTTGACAGGGTCCCAAGACCTTAGTAGGTATCAGCTAGACAGATGGTCAAAGCACAAAGACATTCTGCATCTTATTTTTTATTTTCCTAGAGGTCTTTGAAACCAAACTATGTCATTAGAATGTTAGGCTTATTCAGCACTTTACTACTGAAGTAGTTGAGGGGTTTTAAAAGCTCTCCTTATATTTGCACAACTGAGATAAGAGATGACAAAACATCTATCCACTCCATTAAAGAGATGTATGAAAAGAAAAATGTTGACAAAATAGGGTCCCGATAGTCTGAAAGCAAATCATTTTTTAAAATAATAAATAATCTTTTAAATCAACATTCTTTTTGTTCAGTTAGTAGCGTAGAGGAGTAATGTGGACGGTGGTGGTGACATTTAGAATATTGTTACAAATGAAACTGCTTTTCCTTATAAACAAAAGCCTTATTTCCTAAGGCAGCAACATAGATGCCCAATGCTTTGCACTATATTTTTAGAGTCAATAAAATAATCCAATTATTTTGATGAATAAAAGCATAGGAGGGCAACCTCAAGTGACAATTACATGTATCGGCACATGCACTGACGCATAGGGGATTCATAATGATAATCATCAGAATAACATAAAATTTAGCAATGATGTCACAAAAACAGCATTTCTCTACAGTGAAGGAATTTAAGAATAACTGGTATGAAAATCACTTACCTAGCTCTTCATTTTCAATGACTTCAAATGTGGCCCAGAGATCACCTGGGGTAGGAATAATATTTTTTAATGCTAACATATCATTAGTTAATTCTTCTGCTTCCATCACAGGAGATATCTGTAAAAGAGGCAAAACCCTTTTAAAATATATGTCAGACCCAGGCACAGCCTGATGCTAGGATGATAATACTCGCCATGCACATGTTATGATACCCCAAGTTTCTTCTCTGCATGTTTAACCAGCTGCTCTAAGCACATAGAAAAGATAGCCTATTCAGATCTTCTCATAAAATACATTTCAATGTGAGTGCAAGAAGTTATTGCAACTTTGGCCCGGCTGATTTGTCTCAGCGGTTGAGCACCAACCCATGAATCATGAGCATCGACCCATCAATTCTGGGTCAGGGCACAGGCCTGGGTTGCAGGCTTGCTCTCCAGTAGGGGATGTGCAGAAGGCTGATCAATGATTCTCTCTCTCTGTCCTTCTCTCCAAAATCAATAAAAAGAAAACACATAATTTTAAAAAGTTATTACAACATAGACATAATCAGGAAGAATTATTTATTTATTTATTTAATATATATATTTTATTACTTATGTGTCCTCATCCCCTCATTACCTCCCAACCCCCCACCTATGCCCTCCCCCGCTGTTGTCTGTGTCCATTGGTTAGGCTTATATGCATGCATACAAGTCCTTTGGTTGATCTCTCCCCCTTACCCCCACCGTCCCCTACCTTCCCTCTGACAGGAAGATTTTTTTTTTTTCACTGAGTGAGCAGTTAGGTTACTCAGAGGGAAGACTATACCTAGTCACACATGCAAAGACTGTTACAAGGCAGCAAATCCAATGGCCTCCCAGGGGTAAGACTTTTCACTCGTCAGCTCTATAATCAAGAGTTCACAGTGGCTTGGTTTATTATTCAGCCTGATGCCTAAATTATGCACAGTTGACTGCTGTCTGCCATGCCAAAGAGCCCCAGGGTTGTAGTGGCCTGTGGTGTGCCCTGTCCTGCCAAGTGACAGATGGTGGGATACCAAAGCGTGGAGCCAAGATTTCCGGGCACAGGACAGGGTCTGCAGTGCCAGTCTGGGGCCAGCTCTACAAGACCCAAAGCCTCAGGCCGCCGCACACGCACACCGCCTTCTTCAGGAACTTTGGGGATTTCTGATTTGTTTCTTCCCGTTTTTGTTTATGCTAATCTGAAATTCATACCGGCCAAAAGCAAGCCGGCTTTCTTCCATGAGAATTTAGTTACAATGTTAAACAAATAAAAGATGTTTTAAGCGTTAGAATATTCTAACTGCTCATTTTCAGTAAACTAAGTGTTTTAAAATTTCTTAGAAATGTGCTCCCATTTCTCCAGTTCATTATTGATTATAAGCATATTGCACACGTATAAACAATATACGTATTTTTCATTACAGGTAACTCCTATGGTCTATCTTTTGGGCTTTGTGGAATCCAGTACTTTCTTTGGAATACATTAATTATACATGAAGTCCACTGTTTTCCACTTAGAAAAGCCCAATACAGTATAAACTTAAAGGCAAAATAAACAAACAAAAAAACACAACAAAAGACAGTATCTGGGGAAAGTAGAGAACTTTAAGCAGTAAAAACATTAGGTTAATATTTTTAATGATGTTGTTCATCTGAATAGCTTTAATTTTTCTTTCAGTATAGCCTTTTCTTAAAATAATAAATTACTGAGAAACCAAACTTGCAAAATAATCAATAAAACATGTGCCTCAACTCCATTCTTTGTCTCAGGGAAAACCCAGCGCCCCTCTTCAGAACACCTACAATTCCAGGAGGGATACATGGGAAATCGTTTTTCTAAAGAACATCCAAGTCAGTGGAATGAACATCAGGTTTGGAATATGATGATCCAGGTTTGTGTCCTGGACTTAATGCTTATTAATTCCCAGTTTCTATTCTTATAAACTTGGGACATTACCTGCTTGGATGGAGGTAATGATCAGCTGAGATAAATGCAACTTAAAAGATTTTTGGCAAAGGCTTAAGCATTAAGCAAATGTTAACATTTATTTTTGTGTAGTTTTTTTTTTTTTGCAATGTTTTTAAAGAAAATTTGCAAGGTGAAACTGGACAGTCCTTTGTCTAAATACTGTACTTAAAATAACAAAACTGTGCTCAGCTGTACTACCTTCTATTATGGCTTTCATTATTTATTAAGATTAAACTGAGCTTACTAAAGAGTTCAGGTGTGGGTGGAATTAAGTCATGGGCTGTGAATACCAACTCTCACATTGGAATTGTGCTGATTAACCTGTATGGGTTCCTCTGGTTCCCTATTATCACCACCTGTGACAGCATAAGGAATATGATGTGACCAAAGCCTATGATCACAGATCAGTTCCATGATCAAAGGAAGGCTACCAGTGCTACATAGTCAGAACACGTAATTATTAAACATACATAAACAAACAAAAGATGATACACGTTTAACAAAACTGAAGTCCAGAAATATCTAATATCAAGTTAATCTTTAACTTTGAAAAAAGATAAGAAGATTAAGCTGAATCTCTCCTGCTACACGGCGGAATGTCTATTCCTTAGACAGAGACTGTATTCCTACTGAGTAGGAATTTGAAATACCACGGTTATTCTTCCAAGGCAGACTAAGTGCTAGTTATGATAGCACAACAAGGATTTTCTTAATTCCTTAACAAAAATGAATAATAGTTTTAGGAAAGAACGGAGTTATCCAATACTCAAGGAAATTGGTAGACTAAAAGCCAAAGTACAGGGTACAAGGGTGGGAGAATAATAATAATAACAATAGTTATTAAACACTTGTGTGTCGAGCAATTTGCTAAGTGTTCTACATGTACTGGCTTACTGAGGCCTCATATCAATGCTACAATGTAAATACTGTACTTTTTCCTCACTTTACAGGTGAGAAGATAGAGGCGCAAATAGAATAAGTAACTTGCCTAAAGTTAAGAACCTAAGAAGAAACGGAGCAAAAATGTAAGCTAAGGTTGTTTTCTAGTACCTACAAAAAATCCTAACCTTAACTGAAAGCACATGAGATGTGCCCTTCGCAGATGACTGAAACATGGAATTCCCAGAAGAAACTGGTTTGAAAAGTCCATCCTGTATCAGTCGTGGTTTGAAATGGACAAGTAACATTAGCTATTGAGAAACAATAAACAATTCAGAACATGTAAATTCATTCTAACACCTGCAATTTCCAACAGTGGTCTTTGCCTCCATCTCTTGGACTCACCCGGATTATAATACTGCAGTCCGGCTCCTTCCTCTCCACATACACTTCAGTTAACAGGTCTCCAGCCTGGGAAACCTGGAAAAGGGCAGATGTGAAGAGAGCAAGTGTAAGTCTGCTGCAAGAACACACATACAACACCATGACAAAGTCCCAGTCCTATCTCTAAATATTTTATAATAATAAAAGAAGCCAATCTCCAGTAAGAGCATGATGGTACCCATCCACCAGATATGGTGGATTAAGGACAAGGAATGTACAGAAATGTTACAATCAGCAAGTCAGTGTAAGGCTTTTTCTCTCTTACTGAAGAGTGAGAGTCCTCAAACACCCTCATATTCTTACAGAAATAATGAATCTGGCTAGAATGAAATTATGTTTGCTACGAAAACAGAAGCTGTTCAACAAAATAAGAACATAAAATGAGCCATATAGAATTCTGCTCTAAGCTATAGTATGGATCTAATACTAACAATTAAGAAAATTGGTAGACTAAAATATCTCCTGCTAAATTTTCAGAGATAATATGTCCAAAAATTGAAATCTGAGAGTAAATTAGGTTAGATTTGTATTAAAACTACAAATAGAAAAAGTATATTTGGAAAGAAAAAAATGGAAGTGAAGTAATAAGGTAGATAATAAAGATACATTTTTAATTCTCTTTAGCCAAGCATTAGTGGCATTTTGGGTCACTATTGTACCTGAGAAGACATTCTAAGTGAAGAAGATACAAGCCAGAATATAAAAAGAATAAGATATCGTCATGGATTGACAATATAACATGAAAGTTAAAGAACCACACGAATCTCTACATATTTTCAGTAGCTTTTTCCAGAAATTCCCTTAAGTGTATAACCACTTGGAAATAATATCCATCCTCTAATCTTTAATGGAGAAAGGATCATTCTGAAGTTAAATTTGCCTCAGAGTAAAACCTACTGAGTAAATCTGTGGGGCAAACATTAAAAATGTACTTTGGAAATGAGTTCTTAATTATTTTGACACTGTAGGTTTAGAAAAGCTGATTTCCCATTTTCCTTTCTCACTTTTGATGCTGTACAAAAATCCTAGGGGAGAGGAAATACAGGTGACATTTAACTTTTCATTGTGCTTGCATAAACAACTCTCCAGGAAGGACACTTCTTTAAAAATTAAAAAAGCAAACACCACAAACTCATAGAGTGAAGCCAAAAACAAGCCCAGCTAAGAAAGTTGAGCAGGGATAAGACAGAGACACTGTCAGAAAAATACTCCAGAGGAGAGCTGGAGGAAACAGAGAAAAACACAAGCGAATAAGAGATTTTTCCAAACACTGCTACTTTCCTCCCCCAATTATTCTATTTTACAGATAATATTTTGTTCTTCTGTCTTATACGGAAGTAGAAACACATTCCAGACTCATTCCCTTATTGTACTATGAATATGGAAGAAGTACTTTGAATATAAAAATGTAGAGGCGCCCTCGTGCTTTATGTAAAACAGCACAGATAATGCTGTCAAAGAAGATCTCTTGGGCTCACACAAGCCCTAAGTTCATGAATGAAACTCTTCCCCAACAAGCAAGAACCCAAGAGAACGAGCTAATAACGAGCCAGGTTTTGAGTGTTACAGCTAACTCCCCTGCAGGCTGCGTTAATTACTTTGGGTCAAAAGGGAGGAAAGACTCCTTTAGGAAATCAGTTTCAGAGCGTTGGTACTCAGGGATGTAGGCACCGGAATGAAGGCTTGTCCTCATCTCCTTCATACAGAATGATGGCTCAGGTGGCCTCTCTAATTAGGAGAGGATCGTTCAGTACTGAGGTGGATTTAAGGTTTGACTAATAAGGCAGCATTTGCCTCATTCTCTGAGTGCATCTAATAAGCAGAATATATTAGACCGATTTCTATTATTTACACTGGTACCCTGAATCCTCCACAACAGTGGTTCTCAACCTTGGCTGCACATTAGAATCACCTGGGAATCTTTTTAAAATCCTGATTTCTGGGCCTCATCCTCCAGAAATTCTGTTTCTTTATTATGGGGAGGGGCCACAACATTAGTAACAAAGAAACATCCAGTAAAGAGGATTAAAGATCAATTTTAAGCAAGGCCAATGAACAGCCTTCAAAAAAGGAGAGAGGCATCCTGGAAAAGTGTAGGGCAGCGTGAACACACAAAGCCAATATAACAGGAGTGAGGAAAACGAGAGAAGATCTAGAAACGTCAACTTTAGACATAAATTAGCATATGTTACAGAGATCACATGAAACATTCCCACTGATACAATCATCCAAGAGCAGGCAAAGCAAAAGCATATAAGAAATAATTTATATGTTCAAAATTGGAATGGATAGAATCACTAGGGAGTCTGAATTTTCAATTTACTCTAGTATTTTTGGCTTTAAATGCTTTCTGTGAAATCCACTGACATTTTCAATAGTGCTTTTATAAATAAAAACTGATTTTTTTAAAGGATAGTCTGATAAGATTAACACTGATTTTTTCCTTTTATATTTTGAAAAATTTACATGAATGAACTTCGGCATTTTGCATCTATGCATATCATGCTGCTGAATTACGTAACTATTTTTATGTTGGGTCTCCTTGCCCATTAATTTTACTTTGCTTCAAATAGAAACTTGACAATAAACACAACAAATGTATCTACTTACAATGGAAGTTTTTGGTTTTTTTTTTGAAAAATTCTTTTTATTCTCTGGAGATCTAACTATTACTACTCACTTGAGTGTCTTTCCACTTGGTAATAAAGCTATTTTCTATGTCCATTTGTTTGACTTGGTCTTCTTTAACCTGTTTAAAATATAATTTGGGACATTCTAATAAAATACATGGAGTGATGGTACTCATCCTCACATAAGCTTCTTCAGGAATGTAAAGACCAACAAGTAAAAGTAAATGAGAATGGCCATCTCAATCCGTGCAGGTCCGCACAGCGAGGGCAGACTTAAAGCCAACCACACAGAGCTGCGTAAAGGTCAGAACAGCTTATGATGCTGCTGCTTCAGGCTACAGAGCCCATCAATGGAAGCCCCTTTGCCGAGGCAGTTTAACAAGCAAAGGGGCAGATGACTGGTTTGTGGAGTCTATGTAGGTTGAGAGACAAGACTCATTTCTCAAACGAAAATATTTATTAAGTGCTTTTGAAATTTCCACCATTTAAAGTTGGATTTAACAAACCCATGAAGACAGCCATTTATGTTTTAATCAACGAAACAGTACACATATAAAAAATAAAGATAGCATGCAAAAGCCACACACTTTTTCCTAATTCTTTCATTTCTCAGCATCAGAATTATTGCACAGAGGTTGCTGTTGATCAAAAACAGTGAACACATATAGAAAGAAATAAAAAGAAGATCAAAGAGAACCCGACAGCTCTGGTGTCCTTTCCTATATAAATTAAGATACAAACGGTTATTTTCCTTTATTAAAATACAGTTTCCTTCCTTTTGCTAAGGAATATTGTGATCAGTTATTATAAGAATGTAAGAGCTTTACAAGTAGTAACCTATTACATTAACCCGTTTCATTTCATCTGGTGTACCTATAGCCGTGGAAAACAAGGCATCTTATAAAACACCATTTAATGGAATACTCAAATAGGATAATGATAAAACTGAGATGCCAGAAATAATAATGGTGCTAGATCTCGGTATATCCTACAGTTCCAAAGCCTGGGTTTGCTTCCTCTATTTGTATGTCTTTGAGCTAAGAAACCATCCCCATACTAACAGTTTTCTAATGAAACATGAAAATATTAACTTCATAAAATAGCAAACTGAAAAGTCAAATAATTAGAACAGAGATGACTTAGTAAAGCCCACAGAGCAATATTTCAGAATTTTCATTTTTTCCAATTCAGTGCACAGTGAAAAGAAAACATGGAAACACTTTCAACTGCAAAATTTAACAGCCTGGCATTTATTACTGAATTTGTAAATTCATAATTTCACACCTCTAAGTACACATACTTAGTGCATACACACATACTGAGTAGGGAAAAAAACACACATAAAAACACTGAAAATAAAAATATTCTGCCCAACAGACACCAGATGGTAAAACAGCTTTAAAAGTTTAAATCAATGTTTAAATCAATGACTATACTTTCAAAAGCTAGCTGTATCTAAAAAATTAAAGATCAAATATAACTAATACTTTGTCTTTATTTTTAAATATTCATAAAGATCTGAATAAAAACATCCTAAAATACATATTTTTGCTTGCAAACAGTAACAAGAAAACTATTTTTATGAGAACATGATATAAAATATTTACCTCAAATATTTCAACATAATTGTTAATTAAGTCCTCGATTACATTCACTTCTTCACTAGTTTGTCCCCTAGTTTGAAACAAACAGGATGAAAAGACTAAGGCCAAATTATGGGCGTTCATGTGATTGATTTCTGAGCACTTCTGAACCCTGTTGAAGAAAAGCGGAGCTCATTATGACACACTTCTATTTGAAAGTTTCATAGAACTATAAGTCATAATACTCATTTATCATTTTAACAGATATTGAAGGTCTCAGATACAAAGGGCACAGTGGTGATGTAAAGATCTCGGTACATCCTACAGTTCCAAAGCCTGGGTTTGCTTCCTCTACTTTCTTCCAGGTAGCTAACAGTGTGGTTAAGAACATAAGAAAAAAACTACTGTTCAAGAATATCACTACAAGTTAAAAAGTAGTAGGTGAGTGTTGATTTAGAGTATTCAAACAACTCCAGATAACGGGACAACCTACGGCTAAGCCATAAAGGTATGCTTGCAGAATAGCATGAAAAGACCCATGGGCCTGAAGCATAAATGAAAGAGGGAAAAGGGGGTGGCGGGTAAAAAGGAAACAAGGCAAGAAAGGTGAGTCAGGAGGTATAGAGTAGAGAGTTCCAAATTCAGTGTGTTCAGGGCTGGGCTGAATGTCCCAGAAAGTGTATTATTAAGTGAGAAATAGACCTGGCAGCTAAGTCTGTATGGTTATTCAAAATAGGATATTAGCTCTCAAAACAAATACCTAATTTAAAGACACAACTACACTTTTCTTGAATATAATAACCAAGAATGTCTTCTTCTAATGAAGAGAAGTGAATAGGAGTCAAATCTCTCAATCAGTAGACCACACTTGAGTCCTGTAAAGATCATTTAAAGTAGTAACAAATGTAAGTTCAAAAAGATGAAGGAAAAATTATATGGTCATCACCAAAATAAAAGAACATTTACACTGATAAAAATGCCTGAGGTGAGAACACGAAGTCATGCACAGGGAAGTACCTATTAATGCTCCCTATTTGACACTGGCTGTACATATAGCAGCTGCTTAATAGCCTGATGACACCTGCAAACTTTACGGACACATACTATACAAGGGAGACCAACTCCATCAAAAGAATAAGCAAGACTAAGGAAGGTACACCTGCCTGTAAGAACAGAGATCCTAGTAGGTACAAAAAGTGAGTAAACATGACAGGAATACATATGATAATGTAAGAAACAAAAAAAAAATGACAAATGACATAGCAGAGAGGGAGCAAGTGCCTTCATCCTATAGGATTTACAAGATGTACAAAGAATTACAAGTTGATAGAGAAGAATGTAGTAACTGTGGACACCCCTCTCACAACCACTTCTGTACTCTTACCACACTATGGTGTGAACATCTGGAAAAGTGCCAGCAAGTCTGCCTCTGTTTCTAGAATTCAAGCATCTTATAGTCGGAGACTGCTGCTTTAACCACACTACCGTGCACAATGACTATCTTGTGAATGGAATTAAGGAGATGTTAGTCATGGGGAAGTGATCTTTTTTCTAGAGAAAAGATGGAATTAAGTGTTCGATCAACCTGAACCTATCCAAACTGACCTCAAACTTCTGACGACACTATCAGACATCACCACCTTTCTCGAGACTTCCTTCTGCAAAAAGTACTCTCTTTTGGTACTCTTCATCTCTCTCTACTTTCAGAAGCTGCCTTCATTTCTGGCAAGAGTATGTACAACACAGTATTTTCCTTTATTTCTCAGCTCCCACAGGTTAGCATCCCCCAGGGTTCCCTACTCCACTTGCTCAGTGTCTTCTCACTCAGGCCTTCTCAGCAGAAGCCCGAGGAAACTGTTTCCTGATTAGTTTCTCTGCCTCTACTCTAACCTCTTCCCAACCCATCCCAGTGTGGGGGTTATTATCCTAAAGCAGATTTAATCAGTCACTCCTGATCACTTCAAGGAATAAAATCCAACATGTTTTTCCATGATGGACAGAGCCTTTCACAACCTCCTGCCAGACAACCACAAACCATCTTGTCTCCCAGAACACCTATTTCTTAGAAAACACACTTCGCTCATTTCATGCCCAGTTCGTGTGTCTTTAAATCAGAAGTATCTCTGGACCTCAACACACAATGAATGCATCAACGCCTCCACTATAAACACATGCCTCATGCTAAAATTCTCTGTCATAAAATCTGTCCTGATGTGGCTGTGCTTCCTTAGGAAACATACAATGCACTATAGCACCCCACGAGGTCACTGTGAAGTCCCAGGACTCCTTGGTGCTCAGTTTGGGAATAGCAGACTTAGGATTTTATTTGTCATTTATATATTACTAGAGGCCCAATGCATGAAATTCATGCAAGGGGCTCGGCCCTTGCCGCCACCGTGGCTGCCTGTGCCTCAGCCCCCTGCTGCCGCAGCTTCATCCAGAAAGTCAGACAGAAGGATGTCCGGTCTAATTAGCATATTACACTTTTATTATTATAGATTATCAAATATTTCTATTCACATGGACTTTGAATAGGCATTGACTTGTACACAATAGGAGGTAAAAATATATGTTAGTTGAAGAAAAGGAGAGCGAGAGGAAAGATGGGAAGGAATTCATTATTTCAAATTCAAATCTGAATGAAGAATGATAAGAATAATGATATGTAACTCATTAATAAACTGTAGGCACCTGGCCACTATTAAAATGTTTGAAGAAAAAATAATCTGCCCCGATGTCTCACAGGCACAAAGATAGGACTATAAGGACTATATTTATATGGCGCAGAAAGAAAATTAGTTTTACAGTAACAGAGTTTACATGCATGAGAAGCGGTAGCTGGAAAAGGTGAAGAGACAAAGAATTGTGGAGGATTTCTGAATACTGACTCCACACGAAGGACTGTGAGCAGAATTCAGCTTCACAGGAATTCATTCAAGTGAGTGTAGCGTCCATGCAGGAATATATTCCTTAAGCAATATTTATACTTAGTGAGGTTTTTGTAATTAATTTTCGCTGATAGCAAAACAAACCTTTGGTTTTAACCTGAAAGGTTATTTTCAAACATCCTCTTCCTTTAGGTGCCATTTCTCAAGCTAGCATTATATCCTCCTCCTACCCTCCCACATGCAGAGGACTACATGCCCTGACATGGAAAATGCGTTTGGCTCTTAAAGTGTCCTCATCTGATCCACAGTCTGACACTAACATATCAGAGGCAGGTTAGATGCAAACTGATGAAGAAGAAATAAGAGTTTAGGAAGAGTCCTCCTGCTAAAGAAGCCTGGCCCCTGGACTTCCTTCTCTTCTCCGGCTTCCCTCTTAAATGAGTTTTCAAATTCTTGCTTCTGCACTTGAGGATGCTATATATGATAATGTTTAACTCATTTTAAGAAACTCTCTAGTGCTATTTATTTGAAATGCACCCTAATTACAGAGACACTAAAGTGATAGTTAGTGGGAATTTCACTTTGAAACCATTCTTAAGATTGAGTGAGCGATTTGCAGTCACGTGTAGAAAGTGAACCACAGTACTTTAAATTCAGAAATAATGACTTATCAAGTGGCAGGTTTAAGATAAATTAGAAAATTCATGAATCCACCCACCTGTAAAGGTGTTCAATTATAGCTGCCAATGTTGCTCGGTTGACCCCTGAAAGGGTACTTATAAATGCTCCATATTTTTTAACTCTTTCCTTGTCATCTTGGGTATCTAGAGGTTAAAACAAAAATCTTTAGGCCTAAGGTATTAATCTGTGTTACAAATTTGCCTTTTAACAGTATTATAAAACAATATTACAATTGCATTTCACTAAGTGATATAAGCACGTTTCAGTAAAAATATGCAAACTTCTATAATTCTGGAAAAGGACTTACATAAACATTCCATGGCTATATGCTATCCTTCTTATACTTGAATTAAAAATATAGTACTTTCAAAACCCAGGGTTGTATTTTATCTTCTACTTTTTGGACTATTGAACTTCATCTAATAAAAATATACTCAATAACTCAGAGTGGAGTGAAAATTAGAGATAAGCAAAAAGTATTTTAACTCTGTGATGGGCTGGTGTTGCTCAGTGGTTGAGCATCAACCTATGAACCAGGAGGTCATGGTTTGATTCCCTGTTATGGCACCTGCCCAGGTTGCAGGCTCGATCCCTAGCAGGGGGTGTGTAGGAGGCAGTCAGTCAATGATTTTCTCTCCTTCTTCCTTCCTCCCTCTCTGATATCAATAAAATATGCATTTTTAAAAAATAATTTAACTCTGGCTATGGGAAGATTTCACTATTTGTATGTTAAAATGACATTTTTGTCCTGTTTTTCTCTTGTGAAATCATAAAAATCTTCCCCAAACTAAAATCATCCGAGAGCTATGAACGGTGAATTACCCAGCAGCCCCAGTATTTTCAACTTGTTGGAAAAGGAAAGCAGACAATTGAAGAATAGGTAACTACGATATTGACTTAGAGCAGGATGGCCCCTCTGCCTAAGGCATGGACAGACTTGGTGAATCATGGAAAAGAGGACAGAGACGAATTTCTCTCTGCTCCCCCAACCCCAGGACGTCAAATACTTGGAAAAATTAGACACAGGAACTCCCAAAGTTCTCATCTCAAGAAGATATGTAATGGTGGTTTGGTCTAACCTACAAGCTCACATGGGGGAAAGAAAAGACCTTTCTTCAAATAAATAACTTATGCTGACTTCGTAACTCAAGGGGATTGCACTTACATACTCCTGCTCAATTCCCAACTACCTTTAGAAACAAGACTTCTTCATTGTCCGGTTAGCTCTGCCCACTCTATTCACAGAGAGCCAGCAGCACATTGATGAATTTTTAAAAGTACATGGTCATCACTAAAGGGCATTAGGATCCTTGGGGAGGTAAGAAACTCCGTGACATGTTTTTGAAATGCACTCCTATTCCAAACTACACCGGAGAGCTCCTTTGTACCGAGGTAGCCTGCAGAGATCTATGAAAGTAAACACCGTCCTACCTGCGCTGGTGGGTGAATGACTCTCTAAAAGCAAGAGGGGCCAA